TGGAATTCATTGTCCCTACTAAAGATATTACATGGAATACAAAATTCAGCAGTTATTTTGCACTTTATAACCACAAATAAAGCACATGTTCATACGTGTGGTAAGAAACTGGAAGGTGAAGTGCTGCCTAATTACTTCATTTATAAGCAGTACCACAGAATAAAACTGGATAAGGTTCTGCTTACCTAAATTCAGTGTTCCAAATCCCAATTACCTTCAAGGAGGACAATATTTCAAACTTCAGACTGGAGTTTTCTGAGATTCTTGCTTAATTTAGCCTACTTATTTTTTCTTTCTCAAAGGAAATGAATTAAGGCTTTACTGAAAAAACTGTAATAATTAAACCCCCTCACGTTTAGTACATGCAGCAGCATTTTTCAGATTCACTGGACCGTGGATAACAAAACTGAAAGCTAATGTCAGGTTAGAGGAACTTTATTTTTAATTTAATAGCACAGTCAAAAGCACTTTACTACAAAAAGTTATGACTTTCATTATGTCTATAAATAGGCAACTTACTGAATTATCCCACAGAATGTTAATGACATTAGCATTAAGTCCTAATTAAACAATGAAGCGATATGCATTACAATCTGCCACCAAATATGCATAATCAGAAAAAGATTTCAAAATATAAGTATAATTTTATGTTATTTTTATTAAGCTGTAAACAAAGAGTTTGTGTTGATTGGTGAAACCTTATTTGAGAAACAGGGAAAATGTCAGAGAGGGAAAAAGGGACTTGAATAACAAAGTGTCTGCTATCCTAGTCACGTTATAATAGCTATATTTGATTTTTTCCTCTGAAAATCACTGGCACCTCTACTCAAGTAAGTATCATTAACACTGTTCATCTTCTTTCTCAGATACATTTACTTTTATGGACTCTCAAAAGGCTTGAGAAAATACCTGTCACCATTTTACATCTTTTTACTACGACAGTAAAGGGAAATGACTCAATCAAGTTCACTGAGGAAACCAGTCCCAGAACCAAAACATTTCCATTTCTCTGGAGTCCCAACTTGATCCATCACCCACTGCTGGTGTTATGCCTCATGGGAGTCCTGCTCTGTTGTTGTTTTTCATAAAAGCCTCCTTTTCTGCCTTAACAATGCCTGATGTGATTTTGAATAAGGTGTGTCCGTTGTTATGTATTATTTCTGCACTCAAATATGGAGCAGGAAAACACCTCATGACTCAGCTAATGAGTTGCTGTAAGAATCCCACAGTGGATTGTCTCTGAATAATCTATAGTCTAAAAATGAGTCACTCAAGGTACTTAGCAAGGGCTTACACAAATTTTTGCACAGGAGAAAAGGCTGAATTCACGGGATAATTCATCCCCACAAAAGGACTCAGCCATGACTTGCAGTGACTTTCACGCTACGGAAAAGTTCCCAGAGCTGGAAGTGTTTGGTTCCATCGGGCTGACAGCTGCTCTCTCATCATGATTAAATGGCTTTCCCTTGGGTGAGCTCCAGAAATATGCTCAGGTTTGAGATTCAGAATTCCACACTGGCCATTATGCACAGAGGCTAAAACAGCCCAGGAGTGTTTGGGTTGGGGATTTTTTAAATTTTTGGGGTTGAAGAGAAGACTCTTGCCTCCTTTCCCAGACTCAAGTTCCCAGTGATTAAAAAGTGGTTCCTCACTCTGGACATTCAGCTCAGGTACAACAGACCAGCTCACCAGCAACCACCAAACTGGTTTTATGGCTTGTGAACGGGTCCTGAGGTGCCAAGGAGCTGCAGTCCAGCACAGCATTATCCAGATGTTTTATCCTTACCAACCTCACAGCTCCAGGATCCAGACAACAATCACTTCCAACACAGAAGCATTTCTCAGTCCAGCTTCATGCTTAGACCAAAAAAAAAAAAACCAAAAAAAAGGAATGAGAGCTCATGAAAATAGGCTCCCTGAAGTTGGAGCAGCAAAAAAGCACCTATAAAAGCCAAAGCCACATTTGCTTGACACCAGTGGTGATTGTTGTCATGCACCTCAGAAGAGAAGCCTCCTTGTCTGAAAGGACAGATGGGACTGTCCATAGGCTTTGGCACAGAATGCAGGAACAGCACTAAAGCCTTCTCCAGAGACCCAAATATACTATGAATTATGGGGTAGCACTTCAGAAGGAAGTATGAGATCCTGAAAACCTGTATCTAAAAATGTGGGTGTCCTGAGACTTCCTAAACTGTTTAGTCAAATACACCTGGGTCTGATCTCCACTCAGGCAGGCACCTTCCATCTCTTTTGTCAATGTATGCAAACAGTGTAAAATATATTTGTTGGAATTGTGACAGAAAGAGTATTTTCCATTAAAGTCCCCTCTGATCAGAACTCCCATGCAGGCAACAACTGCATCTTCCTGATACTTCACTGTCAACTTTGTAAATCTCAGATGTCACTGAGATTTACAACATTCCTGCTGGGCTCCCCAGCCAGATTTGGAAGAACCACTCACTCTTACAAACAGGAACTGGCAGCCTGTAAATAAACATAATGGTGGAATTGTTAATAAGCTCTATTTCCACCAAGAGTAATTCTGTTGCTGGAGATGAGGCTGACAGCATGAATTCCACATGGCTGACCATCTCCTACCACTCACCTCTACGTCCCAAACTGTCCTTCTACAGGACCTTTGCATCACATTAACTAAGTTCTTCAAATCATACACCTAAGTTAAGACTTCCATCTGATAATTGAAGCAATCTTAGTCTTAAACTGGGTTGCAATAAATGGATGTTTTATAGCAGCGTCACAAAGTTCCAGTGTCACAACTACTTCTACATCTTACCAAAAATACCTGGCATTAGTACTTATCCAGGGCATTCAAATGCCCTGCCATCACAACTCTCCCACATATTTTTGACAGTTTTGTAACACAGGCAATTCTAACTTTTGGACATTCTATAGTGGTTGATTTCTGCAAAAGTTTAAATGCTAAACTTTCACGAGTTAATGATTTTGTCATAAGATATAAACACACAAAGTTAATTAATACTCTTTCAGAAAAATTGTTAGAAATGGTACATGCACACAGATCATCTAAGTTCCCTGATGTGATCTCAGCAAACTGCTCCCCTCATCAAAAAAATAGCAACTGTATTAATGGCAGTCACAAAATCCTCAGGAAAAATAAGAAAGGACACAAACAGCAGACAAGCCACCAGAATCTGCAGAGATTACGAACAATTAATGGCTAAAGAGAACACTTATTATGGCAGAAAAACCAGGGGAGATCTCTGGAGAAGTTTAGAGTAGTTCCAAACATGGAAAATTTTACTTAAAAGAGGATGAGTTGCTACTGATATAAAATTGTCAGATAAGTAAAACCCAAAGGTGTACTGCAGAGGATTATATAAAATATCTACAGCAGTAACTGACTGAGCAAACATACACAATCCAGAATGGATAAACAAACCTACAGACAAACAGTAACACTCTTATTTGTACTGCCGAGGTATTGAAACATGTTTGAGTGCTGAGGAAATGAATTTTACCCTTTCTCCAGAAGAGGTTATGGATTGTAAGTGACCCAGTCTCTTATTGTGTGAAAGCAGCACATTCATACTTCTGACTTGTCATTAATTAATACATTACTGGTAAATTATTCTTGAAATTAAGCTGTTGCAACTCACATTGCTGATGCAAAAAGATTTGGAGGGGACAGAGAGGAGCCTAAAATACAATGAGGTCTGAAGCCAAAGCAGCCATACAACCCCCTGAGTGTGGAAAGGGAATTGGTCCCAGCTATGTAAGGAGAAATGTTAGGGGAACTCTGACAAGACTCAGTCTATGGAAAATACAGAACACAATGTAAAAGACAAACCTCTGAAAATTCCCCAAATCCTCTTCAGAGCACTCCAGTTAAACAGCACACGCTCCATCACATTCCCACACGGGGGCTGACAGTGCCTGGATGTTTCTGAATCAGCAACTCCAACACAAAGGTATTTTTTCCAGGGGTCAATTTTCCCATTGATGCAAGGAGGATTTACACATGCAAGTCCCATTAATATTAACAGGAGTTACCCACATAAATCCCCCTGCAATGAGAGGAGAAAGGACCCCATAGTCTGCAAGGATCTAAGTTCTAGTGATTACCTGTCAAATGGCCCTGAGCATCATCATCACCAGAAAAAGCAGACGAAGCAGCTTCATGGCTGAAAACCCTTCCAAAAGAGCAGTAACTACCTGAGTCCTACAGATAAGGCAACACAACAGCAGAGGGGAAAACGACACAAAATGGGCTGTTTGATTATTAAGGGTTAATCCAATTAACCAACTTAAAAAGAAAGTACTCATTAAGGAAGGAATTCAAACATATCAAAGCACTCCTTAGAAAAAAAAAGGTGTGAATATTGTATGAGCTCCAAGGTGCTTGAAGGATAATACAGCTACTTGTTTAAAAATTCAATTAACCTTATCTTTCTTTAACTTGATTTATTAATAATCCTACAGATAAATTGCCAGTTTTTAAAAAGTCATGTTATCTTTTGAATACATCGTGTATGACAAGCCTTAAAAACGACTTCAAATCAGCCTAACCCTGACTTTGTGTGCTTAAAGAAAGAACAAAATGCAGTTCAGAGCATGATTTCTGTAAAATACAACAGTCTTATCTACTGCTACTGTGAGTGAGCTATTGGGTACTCAAGTACCATAGGAAAAACATTTGATGTTTCCATTCACCCCATGAGAGAGACATGAAAACAGTTTTTAAGCAATCAATGTAGTGTAAAGTCACAGCCCACAACTAGTAGATCATTCCATCAGATCTGAAATCAAATCTGCAGTATTTCCAACTTGGCATCACGTGGACACGAAGCACCAAGACAGAACTTTATGTAAATTTGCTGACTTGGATGAACATGCTGTCACATCTGTGAACTTCATTCTTACTGCAGATCCTGAAGGCAGACAACAGAATCACCAGGAAATCCCAGCTAACAAAAGAACTGCTTTTCTTTGAAAACAAATGAAAAGGAAACACAGAACAATGCACTTGCAAGCAAACCTTTAATTTTCATCAAACGACTTCCTTGTAAACACAGAAGATGAGAAATCCTATGATCCCTGTTTTTGAGAGACAAACAGGGAGTAGTCCTGCACTTAGTTCTTTTACAGATCTGTGGATGTTAACTACAATCACCAGACACTCATGCTTTCCAATACACATAGGAATTGCAGCTAAATGAAGAGGCAGCCTGTTGATTACTAGATATAAATAACTGCTCAATCACAAGCATCCAAAGGTTACAGTTATTTAATACTGGAAACATTTCAGCCACGGATTTTCTGAGGACTTTGGGATTCAGGTACATACACACAGAGCTATCCTGTAAACAAAGGATGCAAACACGAACAACCCAGGTTCTGAACTAAACTGGACAGGGTAGATAATGCAGGACAAAGTGAAGGTAACAGTTGTGTTGTAAAAAAATAAATAAATAACCTTTCTGGCCTGGAGCCACTTTCAAGGCAGGCACGGGCACCAGGGAACTGTACAGACCTGGCTGTGGCACGTCCAGGCAGTGCTGAATAGTCATCATTCCATGGCATTTTTTATTTACTTACAGTATTTAAGCACTGCTGGAACTGTATCACGTTCAGGTAGAAGTTTAAACCCCCCCAACTCATCAAAACTCACTGATCTACTGGGTGCACATTTTAAGGTAAATCTTTAAGTACATGATAAATACTTTTTATCATCTGAATATCTGATTTCAAGCATTGCTCAGAAGAAGTGCAAGTTTAATATGGTCATTTACAAGAGCTTTCTCATTTTATATTTTTCTCATACAAACTAGGTTTATAAATACTTCAATACATTTTATTGTATAAATGCTTCATGATTTATCATTACAAAATGCATAGTTTACAGCTATCACACTAATTTTAATCCTATTATTTGAGATCAACACAAACCTTTGGAATTATCTGCTGAAACTTCTCTCCACCACCACAAAATCCCTCAACTGATGATCACCTAAACTTCTCAGAGCCCCTATTTCAAAATATTAACTACTGGTTTACTAAAGACCCAATCACTGCAACAAATCCAGGGAAACCAACACAGGTATGCTCCACTTAAGATGAGGAATTTTGTTGGGAAATCTGGCATTAGGTTTAAATTGCGTTATTTTCCTGACTACAGTAAATTAATTCACTACTGAAAATGTGTGATCTATTAGATCTTATTAAAAAAACCCTGAATGTAAAATTGTTCCATGTGAGGAGCATCTTTTGGATTATATTTGCTTCTAAATTATGGCATTGGTTTCAAAACCATACAAGAAAGCCACTCCAGAACTGTCACTATTATTGCCTTCCAGTTCCATTCATAAGAGCACTGAAGGACAGGTTGTGAGCCTCACCCTCACTTGTTTAATCAGCACAGATCCAGGGATTCTTAGCAGAAGATCATCACACTGATAGGAAGCTTGCACTTTTTTCCTTTTGCTTAATGTTGACTTGTTGCCTGTTTAGAAGATGGAGGATTCCTTCAAAAAATGTAAAACAAAACCAAATTCTCTCGATAAATCCTATTTTAGCACTTGAAATTCAAATTTGTTCTGGATTTTTTGTTCAGCTACAAACCCTGCTGGATCTGGTGGATCTATGAATGTCTCATATCAATGAAACTACTTGACAAAGATGATTCAAGCTGAAGGGAAGTAAAGCCATAGCAAATACCAGGGCTCTGGGGGTTTTAAACCTCTTTTTCTTAGTCTTACTCCCTTATGTTCTGGTTTGGGTCAATCTCCTCTTCTACTAAGAGAACACTGTTCACTCATTCATTCATTCATTCATTCATTCATTCGCTCATTCATTCATTCTTCCTTTGTAACAGCAGCAGTTCCTCCATCACTGCTCCCCTCAGCTGAGGGTTCAGGTTTTGTCTCTGCTGGATTACTCAATCCAGACTCTTCTGGCTCAATCTCATCTTCATCATAAATAATATCTTCTGGACTGGGTGGTGGGGGGCAGAATTCCTCTGTTGGAAACATTTCTTTGAAAATGGTCTCGGCCTATTCAGAAAAAAAAAAAAAAAGAAGGTAAACTTTCCCTTGAAATGCAATACCTTGAGGCAATAGAGGCAATACTGTACAGATATTCAAGATTAACCTCCATCCTTTCAAATCAATAGTGATTTAATACTTTGACAGTATTGTAAACACGTGGGAAATCCATTCCTTCTTGCAGTCCTCGAGAAAGAAAAAGCAATTTATCTTTTTACATTGTTCTACTGGGGAAGTCACAGCATGGGATTTTGGGAAAAGTGCTGGTCATTCCACCTGTATTGAGAATGAGGAAGGGGATTTTTTGCAAGCAAAATGATCTTTTTACCTATAAAAGTATCTCACACTGCAGTCAAATGCAGAGCATGGGAAAGATCTTCCCTCTTTCCAGAGAGAGGGATCCATTTCACAGCACAAGCAAACCCAAGAAATTGCATATATGTACATTCCACATCATATCTGTACAGCTTTCCTTCTTAAATTTAAACATTGCAAAAAAATTTCCATTTCTGTTTTTCTGAACAGCTCAAACATGGCTCAACTGACAACTATTCTCACCCAGTGGAGAGAAAGCAGACAAATATTTCCTAGGCAGTTCTCAACAATTATTCAGTGCAATTAGTCAGTGAATATCCATTCCAAAAATGCTCAAACAATCAGGAGGTTGAACAAGGAAAGAAATTCTCAGTATGTTATGCAGGACATCACGACACTGATTATAACTGAACAATTTAATGGCATGGAGTGCTTTCAAGTCTACCAAGTTTTTAAGTTAACTGTATCCAGCTGAAGTAATACAGAATAAACAAGAATAAATCAACAATTCTTTCATTGTAACACTTTGATATTTGTAAATAATTAAGGTAGCAAATAGTTCCCTCAATATTTAGTAGTAAAGTGTATCAGCTGCAAAGTGTAGGTACAATTGAATTCAGCATTAAGACACAAGCATGTAATGAACTTGTATACTCTAATTTGATAACTGAAGTTGAATAAAACTAAGTTTTGTTCCTGTTTTGTGGACAAGCTGTGTGGGCTTTCATAGCAACTTTTACAGGGACCACTACTAAACTAAGATGACCTGGAAATACAACACACTTGAATAATTCTGAAATCCTCCCAGATATAGAAAACAAACATAAACAGGTTAAAGGGCAAATATTGGTCTGACAGTTTTAGTGCATCCTCTCATGAACATGAAGATGCCTCAGAAATCTGAGATACTTCAGAGAACACATTACTTTAGAACATAATAATTCATGTCAGGTTGCAGCAGTGAAAAGCAGAAAACTGGAAGCCAGATGCTTTCCTGGATCTACACATACAGGATTTGAAGGAATCCTAGCTGGCATTTTCATTTCATTTAGCCTGTCCTCAGGGCAAGGAAATGCAAATATCAACATTAATTCAGTATCACACTCAAAATTTAACAGTAAATTATAGTACAACAAGAATGGAGTAATTTGTATACTGAGGTGTAGATGGATAGTTGCCCAGGAAGAGTTGTGATGTCTTGCCTTCTAAATAATGTACCATCAATGCAACAAATAGAAGTTAGTAATGTTAATGGTAATGGACAAATAAATCACTGCAAGTATCATTTAAACACTAATCCCAAAATTATATGGGAAAATTAGATTCAATTTTCCCAGCTCTCTCCAAGACTAACACACACAGTGGGGTTTTGTTTATTTTTTAGAGTGCTCTGATCCATGAGTTTGTAAATGTTTCCTGTTTGGAGACTCCCATGCTGCTGCCAGGAAGATGACAGTGTTTTGGGGGTGGAAGGCACATCAGCTTCCAGCTATTTCCCTCCTCCACTTGCCTAGAAAGTCCCTGGTATGGTGTATTCCAACTGGGACTTCTGCTGCATCTTCACCCTACTCTTCACTCTTCTCACATATGACTTTGAATTATAAACATGTTCACACTAAAATGTTTGTCACTGCAAGTAGGGACCATTTGTTTCAAAACTTAAATCAGGTTCAAGAAAACACAGTCTCTCTCTCTCCCTCTGTCTGAAGGGCAGTGATTCAGGCTCTGGATGGTTCCTCCTCTGAGATCTGCCTGGATCTCTCACTGATGGTCACCAGAGGCTGAACTGCAGCACCAAGAACATTTAAACAGGGCTTGATCTACACCACCATTACTCATTGGGAAGAAAAAGGGCTCTTCAGGGAAGACAAAGCTGAATGCTACAAAAGGTGGCTATCAGAATTAAAAACAGGCTAAGTGTATTTAAACAGCTTTTAATTTGCACTGTTTTAAACAACAGTTTAAAAACATCTAATTTAGAAAGAAATTCACTTACAATTTAAAACTGCTACCATAAAAATTGTCTTGCACTTTTTTTTGTCTTTACAGTTCTTTATCCCTCTGGGAAGCAAATTTTTGCCTTGTAAAGCAAAATGAAGGGTACTATTAGCCCTTAATGACACTGTTCTGACCCTGCAGTTCAGCCTATGTCAGCCTTTCCACTTCAAAATCTTATTTTTAAGAGGTTTATGACTTAGCCATAAAAAAATCCAGCAACTGGTTAGAAGATGGCATGCACATTGTCTGAGCATGGCCATTAAAAAAAACAGCTTTAAAAATGACTGGTGCCAGTTAATCCTCCAAAGATGTAAAGTGTTCTCTTGTCTCTAAAGGCCCCTGACACCACAGGCACTGCTGGGGTTGATTTGACTAAGAATTTGCACCTTCCTTATGGAGGTAGCTCTCTGAAGGGAAGGGGGAGCATTCTGTAGTTCTCTTTTGCTGAACAGGTTCTAATTTAGGTATTTGCATGATCTTGTTGTCTTCTGCTCAGTTATGGTGGGGAAGGCACAGTGGGAGGTGCCACAGGAGGTTCTTTCTGAGGATCTGGTGTTCCTGCACACTGTGTCACACAGAAGGTGCTGTCTCACCAGCTCTGACCTCCCCAGTTTTGTTTAGAAGGCTTTTGCTCCTCATTTCCCACTTCAAAGCACCAGGGGTTTGTCTCATCTGGAGCACTACTGGGTTCTCAGTTCAGGGTTCCAGTTATCAGGGACCAGATCTGCAGCCACCCAAACACTGAGAACTAAAACTCAGAACTGTGATCTGGTGTCAAATACTATCCCTAAGTCACAAATAGAACAACATTCCTCTCAATTCCTTCAGAGATACAACCACACCATCATTTTTAAATACAGTGAAATGAAGGCAAAGAGAAGGTAAACTGAGGCAGGAATTAATCTACCACATTAGTAATTATGCTGGGTTTTCCCCAATAGGTTTGTGGTTTGTGACTATGTCCTGTAAGTATCAAACTTCTTCGATGATCCTTCCAATTTGAACTAGGATTGTGTGACTTTTGACCTGTACTGGACCCTCTCTCTAACCTTTCAGGTGAAAGACAGTGCCTATTTCCCTATCTTTCCAGCTACCTGGTTGTATAATTTTGGGGAGTTATCATCTATATTTCTGCATAAAGTAGAATAACCCAGACTTAAGTCTTGAAATGAAAGTTCTGCAACCAAAAAACTGATGTGCCCAACCTGTTTGACAGCACAGTCATTTCCTAAAGCAGAGTCTGGCCCAGAACAGACATAAACGTTTGGGGGTAAGCCAGAATAGGAATTTTTCTCAACTCCTGAAGAATCTCTCATGTTGAAGTAGACTGCCCAGAGGACTCTAGGTTTCTCCAGTTCTTCATTTTCAGTCTCTGAAAAGAAAAGAAGTGTTTGCAGTAATCAGCATTCTTGTGTGATGAGGTAAATATGTAATCTAGCAGACTAAAAGTCAAATTTTTAACATGGAATTACTGTAATAAAGGACTTTTCTCTTTAAAAAGACAATTATTTTACTTTCCACTTTTTTCTGAGATTCTCTTCCATCATACTTTTGCTTTCCTTTCCAACCATAGGTATGTAAATTCTACTTACTCTGGGCCCACTATGCCACACCAGAACCAATGATCCCCTACAAGCCTCCTCCTGAGGAGCTTGGTCTAAATTTAACACCTTTCCACTTCACATTATCTCCTTTACTGTGGATAAACTCCAAGAGCACAGGATGGGCTGAACAGGCCCTCCCTGGGCAGTGCCAACTGGAAGGCATTGCATTCCCTATGCAAAGATATTTTTGATGTTTAATTTTTCCTCCCCTCCCACTTAATAGTTTATCTCTGTATAGGAACTCTTCCCCCTTGTGTGCATTAAGACAGAGTGTTCAAGGCAACCTAAGCAGATTAACTGATGCTCATGGTTTAAATAAAAAATCCACAAATAATACATCACCCTCAAATTAACTGAAGAACAGAAAGAATTCTGATAAAGAATTACCAAACCCCAAATATTCTGTATTTGAAATATGTGACAAGCAGTATGGAGAACCTCTAAATTGTGGAAGTGCAGCTAAATGAAAATAAATGACTAATTTGTATTTATCTACAATTACTGAGCTGCAATACTCATCATGAATACAAAGTGATCCTGAATTACATCTTCCTTGTTCATAATCTGTACCTTCCTGCAGTTACTCTGCACATTCCTATAATCCCTCTGCACACAGGCAGAAAAGCCTCTGGGAAGATGAAGGTCACTCCTGAACAGACCAGAATGCAATAGAGGAATACACAACACAGATTCTTAGCTTAATAGATACTATTTGTTTGGCATATTTGCTGTCTTCTTTTTGGTATTTTACCTCCTCTAAAATAAATGAAGCTTGTAAAAGACCTTGTGAGATTTACTTCTTTCCAAGAAACAAACTTCTAGATAACAACAGCATTCAAAAGAGTATTTTAAAGCAGTTGAATTAGAAAAAGAAGAGATAAATCTATGCTATTCCTTCAGTATCTTTTTATAACTGTCAAATAGTTAAAAAAAATAGGTGCTACCCATACTGAACAGTTTGAAATATAAATTAAATTCATCAGCCTGTGAAAGTCTGAGCCTTAATACAGGGCAAGATGCTCTTTAATATATTTAAAAGTTCACATTGCTCATAAAAGTTACTTCTTCCTCATTTAGGCAGGAAAATGAATGGAGTCCTCTTCTCCAGGTGACTTTGCCTCTTTGACCTGCCATGGCCCAGTGCTCACTTTATCTGGTGATTCATTTTCAATAACTCCAACAGTATTTGTTCTGACATTTTAATTAAAATACGACCACTACCTCATCCTGATGATAAAAAGGCCTATGTGTCAGGGAAAACTAGCTTTTCAGTGCCTCAGCGCACCTGAGGACCCCTATGATCACAGAGTTTCTCCAGAAGAATTTCAGTCAGGTTCTAAACAATATATCATTTCAGAACTGGATCATTTTACACATTAAGATTAATGCTCCTCCTCCCCAAATGATTAAAAGACACTAAACTGCCAGCTGATCTTCTCTTCACCCTGGTCTTTGAAACACGGGGCACTGCCTTGAAAATTTAAGATATAAGTTAAATATTAGAGGTTGGAAATTAGCAAGCTTGAAGTTAACAAACAGTGTTTGCAACACTCCAGTCTAAAGAATTTACCTGTACTCTACATATTGTAGGCAAACCAATTATAAATATTATAAAATATTTCCACATCATAGTAACTTGTATTTATAGCAACATAACCACTGTCACTGACAGCTGAGCATTGTTTCCTCACAGAACTATGATTTACTGTCTTGAAGCATGGATACTGTATTTAAAAATGCTTTGCCAGGCTTAGACACAACAACATGTATATGCACATGACCTATTCTGTGAGCATTACCAAAAACATGATTAAATACAAGATCTTGGGATTAAATTTCAAAAACTTGTGTGAAATTAGCCCAAAGTATCTCAGGAACAATTCCTAGGCAGCACCTGCTTTGTCAACAGCTGCTTTGCTCTGAGGCTGTGAAATTTTCCATCTCAAGGCCAAAGTTCATGAAAGCAGCTGGCAAGGTTTCCTTGAATTTAGGGCCAAATAATTCATTACTGAAAATTCCTGGAAATCTATCTTTCTGGTAACAATATGTAACAACTTTATGCTTCAAGCAGAATCCAGAGAATTTCACCTAAACCAGCACATAAGGAAATACTTGAAGACAACAAAAGGCTGAGCACCAGTCTGAGAATAACAGCAGGCAAAGAAAACTAAGCAGCTTCCAGCACTGAGCACGTGGCAGCTGGAGGAGAAAGGCAGATCATGAACTCTTGGGGTTTTGAGAACTATTGTCAGGGATACCCAGGTGACAGAAATCACTAAAACAGTGCAAACATCAGCTTCACAAACATCTCATTTCACTACTGCATCCCTGGAAGGTGTGCTGAGAAGCAAATATGTTTCGTGGTAAAAAGAAAGTGTGAAAATGAAAAAGGTCTCAGACACTCACAGCCTCTGGGTACTGAAGTTAAACCACAGTTGGAGAAGACTTGGAACAGCAGATCATGGAATACAACAAACCCAACATCTGTCTAATCAATCTCACTCCCAAGATAAATCCCTTGACTTTGAAATGCTGATATCTCAAGAGCAGCTCACCACGTGCTGCCTCTGATGATGGATTCAGATGCTCAGTAACAGGTATTTATGAGGGTAAATTACATTTATGTAAAATAATATCTTAATACTTCATTTATTTATTCTTACCTTTTTCTGCATTTACATTGAATAACTTCTGTACAACAGGCTCTAAATCTTCCCTTGCTGTTTGAGTTGATGGACAGGTTAAATGGACTAAATCTGTTAAAAGAGAACACAAACTAATTACAATCATCAATACAGAGATAGATAAATAACATTTACAATTTTTAAAAGGTAGGCTTTTAGAAATCACAGTTCTTCATATAAATCACTTTGTTTAACCCAGGGAAGGGCTGTACTATGGAAATACAGTGTATATACAGCACACAGAATAATACAGTACAGCTGTATTATTCGTGAAAATTCAGTTTTGCTTGAATAATGTGGATTTCATATTTAGATTTCTTGCTAATGTACTTGTTTTCATGAAAAGAAAAGTTGCTACACTATTCCTTTACTTATTCTGCTTTGAAAACTTATGAAATTGTGGACTCCTTAAGAAAGATACTCACTTGATGCAGTTCCTGTCCTCTTTTCTGTTCAGATACAGAACCAGGAGCTCTGCTGGATTTTACAGCCATTCATTCAGGTATTTAAAAGCCTCATCTTAAAACTTTTCATAAAACCACCTTAACAGACTCATTTGCTATTGAGAACTCCTCAGTACAGAAGTATCCACCAGAGAATCACAAAGAAATCTAACATAACTCTGTACAAAGTTTGGACTGATTAATTTTTTCTTCATTACTCTAAATTCCTGATCCATTTCACAGCAATGCAGAGCTGAGGTATTATTTTAAATCTATATGGCATTTTTCTCTTTTCCCTCTGAAGCCTGGCTGGTTTTGTTGTCATTATTTTCCAGTATATCACAGAGACATTAAATAGGTTTCCTGCCCAGTTTGAGACTGGCTCCATGAGGACCAGCAATTTAACCCTTCTTGCTCCTCTTCCTTTAGGTTGCACACAAACAGATTATATTCAAACATTAATATTCATTTTTTATTCAACCCAAACCAAACCTTCTGCCTAAAAGGAATATGTACTAAAAAAACTACAAGGAAACTGGTGGTGATAATGAAAGTGCCCCTGTAACCTTAACTAGATGTTTACAATCCCAAACAGTGGGATACAATCTATTTTTTCCTCAAAAATAGCCAGTTATAAATCACTAAAGTTCACATCATTTACTTTCTATAAAATCTTTTTTATTATCTTTAAGGTTATGGCTGTGAGTCCCAGTCATCAGTATATATTTTGATTATATTTGATTTACTCAGGTATAACTGCATTAGTTACAGTGGTTGCCAACATTTGTCTTCAAGTAATTCTTGCAGCCAGAAGAACGATGAGTTTAGTTCATGATTTCATCATTACAGCCTCCAGTTTTAGGGCAAGTGAAGGAGTTTGGTTCCACTCAACTGGCAATACAGATGATGTGCCTGTCATTTATGCAGTGTGATCAAAGAGGGGATGTATTTGTATACTTATCTTAAATAATTGTTCCAAGGAGAAATCAGTCAGGTTAAAACCCATTTGCAGATAATGATGTAAAAGTTTTTTAAAAGATTATGAAATATGTCCCATAACTGGAACTCAGCTATGCCTAATATAGAACTTTATTATTTCAACACATGAAGACAAATTTCATTAAGGAAGGCAGTACCTTCTCTTCTGAAATGAAAGGAACTTATGGACAAAAGTAAATAACTGAAACCTTAATATTTCAGCACCATAAAAACCTTCAAGAAACTAGTAATTTATATCTGTTGAACATCAATCCTTCTTTAGTTTCACTTTCTGCTATATATATTTTGTGAACCTTTAAATAAAAAAAACCCAGCTATTTAAGGGATAATTAATAACAATATGCCTTATGGCACTAAGTTCTTAATTACAGGCTTATAATTTTTTTTATTATTATTTAAGTAGGAAATATAACTTTGAATGACTTTATCATTTAGGCTACTCTTCTTTCATATGCAAAGAACTGAGTTCAAGCCTAGGTAACAGTAAAATAAATTGGTTATTATTATAGTTATTTTTTGTTAAAAAGCATTAGGTCACCTCTAATTCTATTTATCTTCCATAAGTGTCCTACTTAACAGAATTCAGCAGAAGAATTTAGAAAGAAAAATAAATACCCAGTAAGAACATTTTGTTGCTCATTTATTTCCAGTTCACATAAAATACCAACAACTGAGTCCTAAAGCTCTGTGCACAGAAAACTGTTAATGCAAATACTGGGATGTTCCTTCTGAAAAGGTGATCTCTCGTATTTTTAGAATTAAAGTATCTAATGGGGTAATGAAGTTCTGAGAAGAATTTTTATAATTTTACCTCAACCATAGCATGATATGTCTACCATGATATATCTTCTCATCTGTGCTCATAAAGGGACATAATCCCACCTCCACCACAACTTGCAGAAGCTAAAAAGCTCCCACTGTACCATTTTCAGCTTAGTTTCAGAGCTGACAGAGTCAAAGGGCAAAACCCTCTGGACTTACAGGTGTCCTTCATGCAGGTCATGGTTGAGGAGCACAACTCGATGACACAAACTGCTGGTTTGCCCAGTTCCACGGGAGGCACTGTCAGAATGGAAACCTGGGGAGCAGAAGAGCCTGTGGTAAAGCAGAGTATTGTGGAGGAGGAGAAAACCAGCACAGTCTCAACACAGGAATAACTGCAGACACTGACACTATTTGGTTTGCTGCTTTACTAGCACAGAAGAAACACAACAGTGATTAGTATCCTTCAAAATTAAGCAAGTAAAATAAACTACCTTAAAGACAGCAGCTTAGAAACTCTATTATAGTGTGATTTTATTATTTTATTTTTATATTGAATATAGTGTCATTTTCCAAACAGGAAAGCCCAAGTAATTGAACTAAACTAAAGTAAAATTTGTAATAGTTTTATAGACTAAAACAAATTAAACAATTTCCAGTAATTCTGGATTCAAGCAGAAACAAAACCATGAATTAATTCCTCCAACAATTAAATATTAGTGCATACAATACATAAAGACAAGTGATACAAAACTGGTGTGTACCTGCTGCTCTGGATCTGTGTTTAGTACAGACTGATCTGTAATGAGCACTGCTCTGGAGATCTGCCTACAATTAAATAAAACAATTATGTAAAAATATTTATATAAAAAATATAATTATGTAAAAATAAAACATGTAAAAAATAGCAATTTGGAATCATAGTTTTGGTAATACCAAGGTTATTTCACCATATAATCTTTATTAATGTGATTCTTAGTGGGATATTTTGCCTGTTGCTGAAGTAGGAACACATCTGGAACATTAATGCACTATTTTCAGTGACCAAACTAGATGATGAGTCAATGCAGTTGTATAAAAAAGCTTGAATATCGTTTTGATTTAAAAAAAAAAACCCACAAACTTTTGTCTATTTGACCAAGATTAGCAGCAGCATGTTCCAGGACTTCAATGTCCCAAGCAGGACAGGACACTTGGGATTAAGGGGAAATACAGCAGGGAGATCATGAATTGCAGTTTCTGCTCCTCCAGTGCCCAGGATTATTTCTGCACTGCACTCACTGCTACAGCTTTGCTAATAATATCTGAACTGTTCTGAAGGCAAAGGTAGATATGTTCAATTGTTCCATACCTGTAACACACATTTGTGCATGTGCTCTCTGACAGGTAACTGTCTTCCACAATAAAATAGTTGGCACTTATTCTTTGTCCAAAATGATCCACAATAGCTTTGCATCTGTTTAAAAGAAACCAAACCATAATGAGAAATTTCAATACAGGGTAACAAAAGCATGCATAAGAACATTTGCTGATAAATAAATAAAGCAAATTAGCTTTACTTAACTTTTTCTTCAGGTATGAAAATTACCTTTTCTTTTAAATTAAATTCTTCTGAATGACTTTATCAAATGTTTCAGTCAATTTAACATACAGGACTCAAACCAGCCAATTTTATATATATTCCTATACTCAAATTCAACAGGTACCTTGAAAACAGTAACTAAAAGAAATGTAACAGCACAAGCAGTGTTTTAACACTTAGCATTCTCAGAGTTTCAAATTCTATTCAACATGTGCTTCACTTGCAACTTAAAGAAGTTTTCCCTTACTATTAAATTTCAGTGATTTCATTCTCAAGCTCTCATTTGAATACTGCAAATAAACAAGGAAATGGAGCTGCTGCAGTTTATTTCTAATTATAACCTTTCTTATTGTTTATGGAACAATTTCCCTGCCACCCCCCAACCATTATCAGAGGGGAAAGGTTGATTAAATGTCATGTTGCATCACTCAAAGCCAGCAAAAGCAACGACACGTTTTATTTTCCTGCTAAGTGTTGCTTCCTCTCCTTTGTTCAGGAATAGCATCAGGTCATACGTGTGATAAGATTTTAAACTGAGAGAGAGGGAAGGAGAGTGCTTTAATTTCAGTCCCACTTCACTTCAAAGGGTGATGCTGAGAGAATTTCTTTCAAGTGCTGCTCCCAAATCCAGCAAACACTTGTGCACTGACATTATCAGGTCTCTGTCATCTGATCTGTGTTGGGACAATGAATCATCCCGAACCCTCCATTGACCTTCTTTCAATGTGTCGAGATAAAAGGATGAAAATTAGAATCCATCTCCTTGCAGTGCCACGAGTTATAAATGTACTTTATAGGGCTCATTATCCAAACTAATGGACTAAGGGCGACATCCTTGAAATGGACTCAGCAGCACTGCCAGAGCCAGCCTGCAGTATTTCAGATATGTAAATTACTGTGTTTGCTACAGCTTTTTATTACAGATGTAGAAATGTCCATTTGTCACATCTCTTCCATTTTGAGACAGAATTATGTAATTGGAAACATACGTAAAGGGTGATCAACGCCTGCCGTTATTATGGAATTTTATCATATGGACCCCCAAAAGTGACCTACAATAAACACAGAGTAAAGCAACAACAACAAAAGTATGATTCGTGCATTCAATGTGCTTTTTCCTCAACCTCAAAAATATGATGTGGTTTTTATTTTCTAACAGAGCATCAAAGTTCTACCAATATGTTCTGCAAACATATTAAACAGCAGACCTGATACAATACATAAAAAACAAGTATTTTCAAGTGTATTACCAAAACTTTAAAATAGGGGTGTCTAGAAGTTTCTGTATTTTGACCCTGTTTTCCTTGAATCCTATTTTCATAAACTATTAAAAGTACTACAGAAAAAAGAGAAAAATAATTGTAGAGTTGGGCATGAAATCCACTGTTCTCTGTATGTACAGGTGTGGGTAGGAAAATGTGAAAAAGCAATGTTAGCCATGTCTAGAAAGGAGCTGATATAAACTTTGATGATATTTAGGGGCTTTAAATTAAATGCTAAACTAAAAGTTTGAGAAGAAAACCAAGGCTGCAGATAGAAGTATAAATTTCCCTTACAGGTCCTAAACCAAGAATATTAAAGATAGTGAAAAAATAATTGCATTAAGATATGGGTGAAGCTTGGAAGGCTGTGGAAGATGCTCTAAAATGAATCCTCCACAATGTGACTAAATTTCTCCTGTGGTGAGTGTAAGCTATTTGTAACCAAGAGAAGCTGCCTCTGGAACACAGAGCCAGCTGTACTGACAATCAGATATGAAATTGCCTATTACCAATTACTATTAATGGTCTGTTGACTCAAAAGCTCAGTATCTCATAAATAGCCTCATTAACAACTTGATAGCTGATTTTTATTAGGCAAAACACTGAAGCCCAAAAGCCAAGAGGAAATACATGCTGGTGCAGGGAGGGAATACACAGTGAGGATGGAGATAACATGAAAAAAGAAAAGGAAACAGTGATCTGGGATGTGTTGTGCTTCTTCATATTCACCATCAGAGAATGGCACTATTAAAAGCCCAATGTTTTTGGAATAATGAAAGTCTGATAAAGTCTTTTAAAAGTATTTCAATAATTCTGTTCCCCAAAAATCCATCCTTCAATTTTGAAATGTCATAAGCGAACCAGGAAAGCAGCCTAATAGCCTAAAAAAGATACTTGAAACCTGTGTTGAACCCTGGGGAACTTATTAGATTCAAAACATAAAAAAGCATGTTAATGGAAAAGCAGCACTCCACCTCTTTTGGAACACACGTAACCTTATAAAGAAAATATTACTTTCAAAGGTCTTCAGAATGTCCCTCTGAAAGAGTAAGTTAACTGTTTAAACATTATTGGAAAATAAAGCTTCCTACAGTAATAGTTCAAGTATTAGTGTTAAAATAAACTGCAGAGTTTCTGAAAGGAGCATAGTTTCATCTGCATATGAATTATGCATTTAGAACAACACACATGAGGAAATGCTATCACATTTACATCTCACAGTCTGAAAGTGTGCAATGAACTCCAGAATCTGCAGGAACTGACAGAAAGATAAAATCTGTTGTTTACACAGTTTCAGGGAAAAACAGCTACTACTTGACCATGCCATGACAAATGCAGCTCAAGGAATCCAATGTGCAGTGCAGCTGGAAAATATACACATCCCCTCCATCATTTAAACTAGTTTTCCTAATAAAATGTTACTACATCATTTCTAACATAATTTTCAAAATTTTCAACAGAACATCTAAAACTTTCAATTATATAAACTAAGCTGAAAACAAACTCTTAAGAGAGTAAATTCTGCAGTTAAGCTGATAACTGATAGAATGTGTGTAAGAGAAACATAACAATTTACAGAGGTGTGAAAAATGCCACCACTGGAAAAACTCTGGGTTGATTTTTCTTAGCTCAACTTTAAACCTGCCTACAGGCCTGATATTGTTGTAAAAGAATTTATTCTGGGATAAGAGGGCAGCATAGTTTATGACAACAATCTACCTAAAAACTCATTAAAGTCTTTTCTCTTGGAGTGACATGCATTATCAGCAAAGATTAATCCGATGAGTCTTTAGGTGAACTCCATTTTTAAAAATGCAATAACAGAGGGCTTTGTTGTCATCTGATGAAAATCAATTAGAGTAGGTAAGGCCACAAGGAAAACTAACATCACTCATCACCAGCCCCCCGGCAGCTGAAATGATTTGTCTTCCAAGCTTGGGTGATCAGGAGCTGTAGTAATATCACAGGGAAATTAATTTAGTTTCTATATTCTAGACCCACTTTCCTTGTTCTGGAGGACCTATACACAAATTACTTTTAATCAAGGTTGATGTGTTATTAATACCAAGGAGGATCTCTGAAGAATCATTTTTTTTCAAATTGACTCCCCACATTTTTCACCTGTATTTGGTGTGCAAACAGAAGGTTACTGTGTCACCCTTACCTGCCAGAGGCTTTGTCCACCACCAGGCACCGCACGGGGTGGCGAAGGCAGTAGATTCCCCCAAACACAGCACACAGCCTGGGAACAGGGAAAAACAAAGGTTATTCCCATCACAACTAATGGCAATCACTGTGTGTCACAGCCAGGCAAAGCTCTGTGCCCTCTGGCAGGATGGATTTCCTGACTCCATGGGCCCTGACACACGGAAGAGTGGAGCTGCTGGAGTGAGTCCAGAGGAGAACATGAAGATGCTCCAAGGGCTGGAGCCCCTCTGCTCTGGAGCCAGGCTGGGAGAGCTGGGGAGGTTCACCTGGAGAAGGGAAAGCTCCAGGGAGACCTGAGAGCCTCTTCTGGTGCCTAAAGGGGCTCCAGGAGAGCTGGAGAGGGATTTTGGACAAGGGTCTGGAGTGACAGGACAAGGGGGAATGGCTTTCCCACTGCCAGAGGGCAGGGTTAGATGGGATATTGGGAAGGAATTCCTCCCTGTGAAGGTGATGAGGCCTCAGCACAGGTTGCCCAGAGAAGCTGTGGTTGCCCCATCCCTGGAAGTGTCCAAGGCCAGGCTGGATGGGGCTTGAGTAGCCTGGGACAGTGGAAGGTGTCCCTGCCCATGGCAGGGGGTGGGACAAGATGGTCTCTCAGGTCCCTTCCAACCCAAACCATTCTGCAATTTTATGATTTTGAAGTAAAAGATTTTGGTATCTCTTCGTAGATGGTCAACTTGAAAAGAAAACTTTCACTTTCCAGACATGACTTCCCCTAAAGTGGAATCAACTTTGTCACTCAAACATCCTATGAGGTAATTCAAAGACAGTCAGTCCCACAACCCCTCTCAAACCTGGATGGCCTGATGCAGCACAGCAAAGGGCTGCAGTGTGTCCCGAGCCCACCCTCCCTCTGAGCTCACTCCAGAAGGCTCAGCCCAAGGAGCTGTCAGCACCAGCACTGCCACTGCCCAAACTGGAACACCCAGTTCCCTGGAAATACCCCTGTGCTCATGCAAAAGCAGCAGAATATCCCCATGTTGAATCCCAGCCTTGGCTGTCTGGAGATTGTTGGAGATGACACAAAGGTTAAACATCCACTGAAGGATTATTAGAGAGCCTTGAGCTACGGGCTGATTATCTCTAATGCTGCAATCAATGGCTCCTTGCCTGACAAAGCAGATATCAGCATCTTTCAAACCAACTCAGATGAATTTATTTCATATGTTATATGCAAGAATAGTGCTATTAACTTAATTATAACTAAGATTCCTTAGTTAAAAACATTAAATTACATCTTTCCTTTGACTTCAACCACAGTCAGGGGCTTTTTGATATATGCACTTGATTTTTCTAGTGTGCTTTGAAAGAACTTTGCTGCTTGGCTGCACAAAAATGTGAATTACTTATTTCCAAGAGTAGCCTTCTATCCAGAGGAGGAGGGCATGACCTGTTTTCATAAGAGGCCAGCAGAAAACTTCTCTTTTTAAATGAAAATGGAAAGGAATTTTGATTGTGTTGTTAAACAATTACAGAAAGCCAAAATACCTATTAAACAGCCCAGCACGAAAAATGACACAATCGGGAAGAACTTGCCAAAATTATTTAAATACAGAAATTGAAATATTAAACTAAATGGCACCCCAGTAATTTATGACAAAGTAAAATCACTGTGCTAACATTACTTTCATACAATGGGCTATTCAAGATGATTTGACTGTACTTCAGGTACAAGGCAACTCTTTGATACCATTAACCCTAAATGACAGACATTTAAACTGATATTACTCTAATTAACTGGCGACTGCCTACCCCAATAATTCAAGTTTTGCTGAAAGATAGCAACAACACTGTACCCAGCTTCAACTCTGCCCTGCTGACATCAAATCATATTACAGTTAAATTAAGAGTTGTGAAAATTTTTGGCCTGGTAGCCCTCCATCATCCACAGCCTTTAAATGCCATTTCAGTCCCCATCAAGGCAGGACTCAGCAGTTGCAGTTTTTAATACAGCTGTGAAACAATAGGACATATTAAAAGCTGAGGTTTTGACAGCATATTCACCATGATTTATGAGTTTGTATATAATTTGATTATTCTATTAATTTTACTGATTACTGATTCAGCTAATACAGTGAAGGTCACTTACAAAATAAATCTTCATTACATTCCACAGAAAGTAACTGCCTCCAACTAGTTGTTTTCTTTAATTAAACACTAATGTAACAAGAGAGAAAATAGGCTGCAGGGTTGCTGCATCTGTTGATACAAGAGGAGTTTACTGCTTTGATGTAATGCTCTCCGATATTAATTGAACAAAAATAGAATGTGTCTCCATCTGACATCTCGATTTTCAGTCCAGAGATGCCATAAACACACTGAAATTACAGACCTACCCTTAGTTCACTCAAACTACAGAAAGTAGTTTTACACCAAAAAAATAGTTTGTGTTTCTAGCATCTAATTTGTCCTCTACTTCCTGAAATTCACTGAGTAATTAATTAAAAAATTGACTATTTTCCCCTCTAACTGTACAGTTTTCTATAGCAAAAACTGTTTGCTTCTCTCCTTAAAGCTGAACACTGCATGTCCAGCACAATGAGCTTTGGAGAAAGATCAAAGAAAAACATGCCAAGTGCTGAATTAATGAATTTTTCTCTTTCAATTTGGTTTTACACACAGAGCAAGCTGTGAGCTAGTTCTTATGTTAAATTCTGTGTTTCCTGGAAGGCCCCTCAAACATCACATTTCCTCCAATGTTGTTGCGTGTTCTAAAAACCCTGACCAGCAGAATACAGACAAATCAAACAATTAAAATGGCTACAGCTAAAAAAAAAAAAATAGATGGTTAATCTTCCCAACACAGATTTCCCATAAAAAAAGTCAAAGTTCAGTGTTTACCAAATCAACTTTAAAAGTTGTTCACAAGGAAATTTTAAGAGAAGTGAAAATTATTACAGTTTTTGCAAACAGTTAAAAGTTCTGAAAATTTATCTGGGTAACAGTACAGTCAGAAAAAGTCCCATGAAAGTATTATGAGAAACATATTGTCACTTGTTGAAGCAAAAAGGGGAATAAATAAGTTCTGTTTGAGAATAAATTTATTGTGTTTCCAGGAACTGCAAAGTAAATCCAGACACTGTACAAAGATAATGAGGGATGTGATTAAACATGAGGCTACTGTCAGCAAAAATGCAAAATCTGAGGTGAAGAATTTGAGACTAGGTCTGAAGTAAGTAGTTCCAGAGACACGAAGTTTTGTCAAGAATGGTCAGAATCACAATGTGAAAGTGCTGTTTCTTAAAATAACAGCATTATCACCTCTAAATTTTTCAAAGATCCTGCAATTAACACCACTTTTTAATGGATCTAGGTTAAGCATCATTCTCTGGGATGCTGAACTCAAAAACCAGATGATTTATATGAAAGTGAGGTGAAAATCCACCAGGAAACATGTTCAACTATTTCACAAGTGTCCTAGAAATCACGGTAAAAACGTTGTGGGAATTGTAAGAAATTACCACAGAGCTGGAGAGAGGAAAAAATAACTTAAAAAGTCCAGTTATTTCTGTGTTGCTGTGATGGCAGTTAACCACAAACTCACTCCCAAGACTCATCTCCGTGGAAGGTGGAAGGATGGGACCTGCCTGGCTCGAATTCCATCGCCCTTGTTCCAGAAGAAGCTGTTCCTCACACAAGGTCGTCCGGCTGCAATGACACAACAACTGTGCCCCCCAGAGACCCGTGGGCAGAGGCACAAAACCAGGGACTAGAAACCAGTCACTAAGCATTAGCTCATCTAGAGAACCCATTTATTTGTTCTCTGCCTCCAGAAAAGACATAAAAATTCAAGTTATCTTAACCCTCAGTGGAATTCAAGGACTGTTTTACTAATTTTGTCATGTTTTTGGAGCTCCCTTTCTATCTGTCTTTAATGAAAAAGGACTTTGCTAAATGCAATTTGCCTTCACATCTCAGCTTTGCTGCAATAATAAACAATCATGTCATTTCCACAGATCTCCTGATAATGCTGGAACGTATTCCCATGTCTGAGTGATAATTCTCAGGGAGACCTTGTAAGTCAGATCTGCACATCCCCACTCAGCCAGAGAGGAATTTCCTTGCTAAGGGACTGTCAGGAGGCAATATCAAATAATGTATTAAAAAGATATTTCCTCATATTACTAACATTGTCCTAACTTAAATCCTGAAAAGGCCTCTCATAATAGCATTTGTATTTTGTGCTTTTAGGTTCCAAATATGTTTTTCAAATGTACCAAGAATGATTGAGATAGGACAATGTAATTCCAACCCCTGTAATTCCTTGACTGAAAACTTTCCATGCCTAGTTAGGGATCTGAAATCAATACACTTTGACAAGACCCATATGATCCAGAGCATCCCATGTGATATATTCTATTGGCTGAAGGTATAAACTCCTGCAGAACACTGTATTTCTGGTCAGGGAAATAACGAGGATCAGAAAAACTCTGTTTAAAAAATAATTTCCAAACATGAAAGAATTGACAAACACTCACTGAGAAGGAAGAAAAAATCTAAAATGGGAAGGTATTTTCCGAGTTTCATACACTTAATGCATTTCCCAACAAAGGTTACTTCCAAATTAAAAGTCTTTCCTGTCAAATTCTGAGGAATAATGTGGGCAAGGACACAAAAGCATTCCATAGCTTTATTAACGACAAGGCTCACTGATCTGTGAATAACCTGAAAAAAATGAAGATTATTGAGTTACTTTACCAATCTATCCATCCATCACTAGTGAACAGGTCTCAGAATGATGGATTATCTCACTTCCCTCATGTTTATCCCAAGCAAGAGTTTCTCCTTAGAGGGAAAAACAAACAACTGATCCTACAAACAATCCTGCTAATTATGCCTGCCCGTTTCACATTCATCTGCCAACAAAGTGAGGAGAAATACATCAAGTTTGTCTTTAAAAGCCCAGCTACACTGGAAGTTTTATTATTTCCCTGAAATGCAGGTGGAAACAAGAGGAAAGCAAAGAGAGTAGCACTGCAGCTACTCATATATTCAGTATTTCAGCACAAACCAGAGAATAGTGACAAGTTATCAGTAATTTCAATTTACATTTTTGAGGTGCAGAGAAATGGAATAATTGTAAGTGGTAAGAGATATATAAATGTGAAAATGAAATGGAGGACTGAACTCATCTCATATACAGCCAATGTTTTTTAAATCACCTGTGACTGTTTCACACTTGCACAGGATTGTACACATGTTGAGACTCAAATCTGTCACATCTGATTGTACAAGAATGAACAGTACCTGAATTTCTCATTAAAATGCCAAATCACACAATTAACAAAGAGAAAACTTCGGTATTTTGCTTACATGTAGAGCCATGACACTCATGAATGGAGTTCATTGAAAAGGGAGTTGCATTCAAGTTTTGATGTATCAATTCTAAGTGCTTATTATAGTCAGGTTTCCTGAAGTGTGGTCTTGATTTCAGACCACTAAAACCTTCTAAGAGATTGTAACAGGGACATAATTGGGAATGTTAAAGGACCTGAGACCACCTCAGAAGCTCTGACACTCGCAGTAGATAATAGTTCACATGTAAGGGCACAAACTGATTATTCATTTTTAAATACATAGAGGAACCCTCCAAATCAATCACACAATCCATCTTATCTCAGCCCGGACTCTTAATCTTCCTGTAAATATGGGGACTGAAAGAGATGGAACTTCTTAATCAGATCTTTCCTCCATCACAAAATTACTGCTGTCACTGTCACTGAGACAAAAATTACCAATTTCAGCTGGAACCTGCAGCAACTGCTAAAAAGGGTGACACTGCCCACCAAACACAGACCCTGTGGAGAACTGAGTGAGGCCACAGAGGTGAGGCCACAACCTCCACTGTCACCCACTGAAAGCACTGGCCAGGAGTGAGGAGAGGCACAACTGAAAGAACTCTTCTCTGAGGAAAATTGAAAATTACAGGCATGCTTGAGTTGAACTGTAAAATAAACTATTTGAAAAAATATTTGGAAAATAGCATTCCAAACACTCCTGAAAATCATAAAAAAACCGAAAGTTTTTTTGCTTCTGAAAAACTGGAAGAAAGGAGATTCAAGTTACCAAAGAGGAATCCTGTAAAGCATGCAAAAGCAACTATGGCCTCATATTCAACAACTCTTTCATACTTTAAAATATCTTTTTTTTTCCTGTTACAAACGAAAATTTGAAAGCTGACAATTTTAACATTAACCTCCTAAATCAGAAAATATTTGGGGTATTTTATAAGGTTTTCTACAACCAGAAAAAAGCTCCATCAAAAATCACACTAAGTATTCTAGCTGTTGTATCACTGACTTTACAGTGATGCCCAATTCCAGCTTTGTTTTGGGGACGTTTGTTCAAGGAAAGGAAAGCTGGGTCACAGATTTGCAACAACATGTCAACAGCAAACTGCAAACCACATCTTGCTTTCCCTGGGTGCCTCAGACATTTTGGTGTCTTACATTTACCACATCATTTTGATATTCCTCAAGAATGAGATATTACTATATTCATTTTTGCTAAACATCAAACCACTGCTACATCATTGGAAAGGAAGAGATAGTTTTGTACCATGAAGTTTGAAGCAAAGGAAGTAGTTAAAGGTCAGTAAAGTTTTGCTGCTTGGAAGAGCACGGGGTTTCCAATGCCCATCCTTGTTCCACTAATCCAATTTGTGGAGACAGAAATCTCACATCTGTACCTCAGCATACTGGGATGTACATTACAGTGACATAAAAGTTTAATTTTCTCTCCTAAACCATACCTGCTTAAACCAATAAAGAACTAACGCTGCCTTCACTCGCTCAGGTGTCGTCAGCAGTTCTAAAACGTTGTGGTGTTTATGCAGAATTCATTTGGGATGCAAGGATGTGACTTCCAAATGCCTTTGGCTCATTCCCATCAATATGCATGTGTGCCATTTATAACAGTAGCCTTGATGAGAACACACAGTGTCACTGGCTGCAAGGAACGCTTAAGAGCTTTACATTAAACAGAATATAGAACAGTGGTGAGAAATCACAGAGCAGGTGACACCTTCCCCTGATAAGCTGGTGATAAAAGCTCTGGGCTGTGATCTATAGGCTCTGTGTCACCACTCTGCTCCCCAGCCTGAGCAGGATTCCTTGGATACAGCTCACTTTCAGGGAGAAATAATCCTGAGGGAAGACCACAGATAAAAATTGTGATTCGTCTCAAAAAATACTGTGAGTGCCTCCTAAACTGTTCCCTTAAAACCAAAGACAATTTAAAAAAAAAAAATTGTATTAGAATCTTTGTAACACAAACCTTTTGAAAGTATAATTACTTCTTGGTTTGACAGATTAATTTGTTTCAACTATTAAAATACCATCTTCATTGTAGGACTTTACATTTTAGCAAAAAAGCCCCTAAAATGCAGCGATCAATGGACATAAATAGAAAGTTGACGCCATCTGAAGAATTCCTGTCGTCATGGAATGATTTTATGATAAGAATATTTATAATACTTCTAGACAGCACTATGGTTAAGTCTTGAAATATATTGCTGTTACAGATCAAAAAACTATATGTGCTGGCTAATGAACAAAATAAAGCCAAAGGAATTTCAAGAATGCAAAAAAACCCTATATGGAGAAAAACCTACAGGGGAAAAATGCAACTAAAATTCTAATTTTAAATATAAATTCACTTCTTTTTCCCAGGTATTTGAAGTCAAGGAAGGCCTAACTGCCCAACCAGTACAATGGCTCTGATAATATTTTGATTTATTAACCTGTTGGTCACATACAGATACCTGGTCTCTTATGAAGTCCATCCATAAAATCCGTGAACACAAGTTCTATTTCACGACTGTATTCAGAGTAGTTGCCTAAAACAATTCCTCTTCACAGGTTGTCTGTCCAACCACCTAATTACACAGATCCACATTTTTTAAAATCACCACATAAACACAGTGTAAGGAGCAGCTGAAAGGCTATTGACAAAAGATGGTACCAAATAACATTTCTGTTCAGTGGAGTACAATTATCCCAGAACGTTTCTATCAACACATAATTGCATCCATCCTACATACAGCCAAACAGGCTCAAGCTGCTAAGGCCATTTTTCTGGCAGTAATTTAAGTACTGTTCTGGAAAAAAGAAACAGAATCTATCAAAGAGACAAGACAGGAAGATAATGCCCAACATCGTGTTGCAAACCAGAATTTAATAGCAGCACATATGTAAAAAGCAGAACTTGTCCACCACAAACAAAGCAGGTAAGAGCCTGCACTGCTATTTAAAGGACTGAGGTACAAATATATCACTCAGCCAAACTGGCCTCACCAGGCAATGCTGCCTTTTTTAACAAAGCTAATGTTTACTTCAGACCTACAGGTTGCCACATTAAAAGCCACATGGAGCAGATGGAAACACTGCCTTGCCAGCAAAAGCAAAGAGGAGAGAAAAGCACCCTCAGCCTTTTGAAAGCCAGTTGAACTGTTGGAAATAACTGAAAATTAAAACTACCTGCCCTTTGTACAGGGATTCCTGATGGCCTCCAAAAGCATGGATCACCAGCTCCACTGCTGGGACCACAGGACACCTCAGGAGTCAGGATAAGGACATTGTCACTTGACCATAGGTAAGTAAAGAGCTTGAAGTGGATCCTCTTTTATCCTGGAATGAACTGGGTTTTTTTCCTTTAATTACTTTCTAAGGCTCAAGCAGTGGAGAACATTTGGCTGCTGTTTGAGATGTCAGAATGTAAAAGTGCAGCCTGTGTGGGGCTCAGTGCAACGGGGCTGCACGGGATCCTCTCTGCTCTTCAATTCATGGGGGGAAGCTTGTGGTCTAGACACATCTACAGAATGATCCCCAAGAGGACAAGGAAATGATTTCACATCAGTTGCCCTGTTTGTACAAGTCTGTGATATAAGAAAGGTGAAAGAATTAGGTTTTGATTCAAATTTAATAATAAACTGCACACGTGGCACTATTTTGCTTCTTTCATAAAAATCCAGCCTATTATTTTATATCTACCTCTAAATGGCAGATGCATTCTCAGCATTAGTTAGAGACACAAATTGACAATGTGTATCTTCCTGCAACTTCAGGGAAGACTCAAAGCACAGATTTTCTCAACCCACCCCAAAGCACAGCCACCCTTTTGGACACACATCACTCTAAATCTCCTCTGCCAGATTTAAAAAGTGAGAGCTACATGTGAGTTAAATTAAGGCTTTCTCATTTCCTAGGACTTATCACCACAGGCAGCCACCACAGCCACCAGCTATTACAAGCTGCATTTGCAATACAATGAAAATTGTTGCAGAGTATTACAGGAGTGACATCTCCAAATTTTTTTTCCCCCTTTTCTTTCTGGAGTGAGAGGAATTTCACGGCCAACGAAAATGTGAAGCACAGAAAACCAACATGAACCTGCAGCAAGAAGATTCCTATTGAATGACATCTATTAGATTACCAAGGAGGTCCTTTTGGGAAGGCATGGATTGGGTAAGTGGGGTTTACCTGCAGAAGCACTGTGGGATCTCCCCTTGCCCGTAGAGAGGGAACAAAAACGGGGTATTGCCGTAGCGGCCAAGGCACTGCAGGAATTTTTTTGTTGCCTGAAGACCTTCCAGAGTCCTGCTCTCAGTCTCTGAAACCATTGCAATGGAGTGAAGGATGAAGTGCTGCAAGCTGGGGGTCAACTTCCTTGTCTGCAAGAACTGAGCAAACGTGCTGCTCTCGTGGTCTGAGGAAAAAGCACATTGAGGTGCAGAGCACAGCATTACTTCTTGTATTGTCCCACATGCTCCCACTCACACAAGTGCCTCTACGTTTCAATAAACAAAAGCAAGTGAGTTTTTCAACAAACACCCTGCTGAAAATGGATCATCCAAGTCAAGGAAGTTCAAGAAATTTACTCCCAGAAGGTGATTTTTCTCACAAGACAGAAATATCACTCCATTAAAATATTTCAAAATACCACAAACCCACTGTGTGGGTCTCCAGACTGTAAATATGGCTTCACCTACTCATTCTGTTAGACTTGATCTAACTCCATCTCCCAATCCTGAGAGAAAAGTCCTGGATAAATTCATAAGGAATTCAGAAACACTTCCATCAATGAAGAGAGCAGTATTATCAAGATATATATTCTGTTCAAGAGTCAACCACTGCTTTACTACAAATGTACCTTACTGCCCTTTGTACAGCCATGCAGTAAGTCATGGAATGACAGGGTCTGGGGCTTTATCATTCTAAAAAAATTCTCAAGTTTTTCCTCACTTCAGCTTCTTACATAACTCTGTATTTTACAGAAAAAAGCTTTAAAAAATTCTTTACTCTCATGAACTTTCCCTATTAAAAGTCTGCCTTCCCACAAATGCAATGATCTCACCAAGAGCAATTTTAAATTTCTGAAGTCTTTACAGTAGCCTAATCTGACTCAAAATATTCCCAACTACTTCCCAGGCTATTTTAAAATGTAGGAACAAAATCTGTCTAACTGTCTCTGGAAGTAAAACAAATCTGATGTTATTTAGGTACATGAATCAATGGACTCATTTAAAATTGATGTGGCGTCTCCTTTTCTTTACTAATAAATTTTCTAAATACCACCTATAATCCTCACTCTGGGAACCTCCATTTCTTCCAGCAGCAGCAAACTGGGATCACCTGTAATCAATAAAACACTTCAGTCTAATGAGTCTTTGCCCTGTCAGGATTTTCTGGAGTTCATTACACTCTCCTTCTCCTAGTCTTACCAGATCTCAGTACTGACTCATTTTCTCTTGCATATGTTTAAAATAATTTTCTCTAATGTTTGTACTAATCTAAGAGTCTTGTTCAACTCTTCAAACCACTGTCCCAACAATTACTTCTCCTTAACACTAGATTCCTGCAAAAATACTGCCTGGTTAAGCTACTGTCAAGTTCCAAAAGCACTGATCTCTTTTGGTCTGAAACTTCAATACCTGAACTACTCCTCTTTCCTCATTCTTTCTTTTTGATAGACTTTTTTTCCTGTGCCTTAGTTTACTTTTAGACTCCCAAGAACTGAGAAAGTCACTTCATTCTTTGAGCACAAACAAAAGCACCTTCCTCCTGTCAGCCAATTTCCCTCTTTGACCTGATGCTCATTATTCTCCACACATTATACCTCAAATCTATTCTGATTTCCCCTTATCTAAGTAAGCCAACAGTTGATAAAGGTACTTTGAACCTGCCCTCTACAACTACAAACCATTAAATTACATTTACTTTCAAAGTTAAAAATTCTATTTTCTCCATTTCTGATTTTGTGGTGGCATATTATGGAGATTTACACAGTATCCAAAAATCAGAAAGAAAAATCAGATGCATGACATTATTTTAAAAAATACCTGGGAGGGGGAGGAAATACCTAAAAATGATAAAAAGCAATTGGCAACCTTGATGTAATATATAATTTTGCTGTTAAAGAAAAATGTAAATAATAAATGATGTGGGAACTAGAAGAGCAAGTGCTTAAGTAGAAGAATTTAACACCAAAGTGAAAAGGTCATGAAAAGGTCAAAGCATACTTTGAAAATGAATCCATAAAAATAAACCATGTGAAAACACAGGAGAGCTCTCAAAATTGTGCCTCACTGAAAGAACTGCTAAGAAGGGATTGTGCCCTATTCAAGGAGACACTACCTTGGTATTCCTCAGGGTGCTGTTCATAGTCCAAACAAAATGTCAGGAATTTCATTAGCATTCTCTTCTCCACCATGGTGAGCTGTCTGCTGTTGAACACATCTGCTCTAGAACAAGGCACCTGCAAAATATTTGTTAATAACTTCAGATGTAAAAGCATCAAGTAACATCAGTCTGAATACCTAACAAATATTTTAGATTACTGTAGTTATTTTTGTACAGATTTCTTTGTTATTTTCTATTATAACTATAATAAAAGTTACCAATTCTCTACCATAAGAATATTTTTAAATCTTTTTCAGCCTCTTCTCTTTTTTATTTCCCTTCAGTTTCACTTGCATCTCTGACTGCAGAGTTAATCAGCAGAGTTTGTATTAATTAACTGTTCCAACATCTCCTGTTGCCATTACCACACTGACTTCTCTTGTAAGTAGCAGAGACACAAATCAAGTCTATGCTATGAATTTTAAAACCTAAACCATATGAATTTTTAAGAATTAACTGCCAAGTCAATCATGGCTTAAATATTTAGCCTGAGGCAAAGATTTATGTCAATATACTGGACTGCACAATCTTATTTTAGTTTGGGTTTTATTAATATTTACATATAACACACGCAAACACCTTTTCTTTCAGAAATTAAATAAAAACGAGAATTAAGGCAAAATACCAGCTTCTTGTTACAAAATTCTCACCACACCAATTTCAAGCTTCTTGACTGTCCAAAGATGAGATTAAACCCAAGCAGCAGTCATTTCCCAGTACCTGTTCCACCTTCCCTTCCCGGAAGGCCAGAATTCGCGTGGCATTCTTGAACTCGGCGTATCTGCTCACGTTGGACTTAATGAGAAGGTCAATTAACAGACCCCGGGAGAAAAGCAACTGCACAGGGAGGAGAGAGAAAAGGGTGAGCAAAGAGGGTCAGTGAAGTTCCTGATGCTGTTTGTGTAAATCCTCAGTAGCTGTTCCCTAAGTTACCCGAAATCATAGTGTCACCTTTTCCACAGGTAAATTCCATAACCCCCAGTTAAGGTTTAGTCACTTCTGTTCTGTTAGTTTATACTTGGCTATATTTACTCTTTCTATAAGCTACAAATATACAGTGAAATACAGAAGGGACAGAAATATAACTACGAACTGAAGATGTTTGTCTGGATTGAAAAGTCTTGTGGTCTTGAGTAACAGAATTTGCAAGATGACACAGGAATTTTCCAAATAAAGGTTTACTGGAACACCAGTGAGGACACTACAAGGAAGCCTCTGTCCCTGAGCCAGGGAAACACCAGTGCAAACTCCTGGTCTTGTCCTGCTGACTGTTCTTGTGCCTGAATTTCTGGAATTTGCTGCAATTAACACTGTGTCACACAGGGCGACAGAAAAAGCATAAAATAGAATGATCTGCTCAACCACTGTCCCCTGACTGGTGTTTCCATGATGTCCTTGCAATGATCCATGGAAGTGGGATCGACATTTGGAACATAAAGTTTGCATCTTATAGTGTCTTCACAAAGAATTTAATGAACTATTGAAACTTTCTTTTCCAATTTCCAGAGGTTTGAAAAATCTTTTCATGCAGAATATGTAAAATTAAGCATCCAGCTTTGAAAAAACTTCCCTGTATGGCAGAGTACACATACAGGCTAAAGCACAGAAGAAAAATTTCCACTGAAGTACAGTTTTCAAGGCCACATCCAAATACTCTGAAGCATATAAACAGCAGATTTTAGAGTTAAAACAGCACGACACATATGTCAGACTAATAGTTTCTCTTCTAAGTAAAATGCACACCAGTAGGAATTAAACACATTAATAACTAATTTTAGTCACCTTGTATGCTATGGATTAACTGTAATTACTTGTTCCTTCCAGTAAAATTTATTACAGTTCAGTGTTTTAGTCTGAATACAGAGAAGTAATGAGAGTTTCATGGGAAAGTCAAACACCCAGGAAGCATTCCAAGAGGAAAATTATTTTGCATTTTAAAAAGATCCAAAATCCACATGTATATTGATTTTCCTTGTTTAAAAATCTAATTTTTTAACGGTACTATTTAAAAGGAGCAATTTTGCAGGTATTACTTAAGTACTAAATTTCATAAAATTCACTTTTATGGAGATATTTCTGAGCTACGTTTTATGGTCTCTGGTTATAAACAAACACTTCAGAACATACATTAAACAGCCATTTGTTTTAAGGATAGCAAGTCTTGTTTACATCTGAAGATTGCCTCAAAGGCACTGTGTCACTCTCCTCAACATTAAAGATTTTCTTAAAATTTCAGCAATTCAAGCAAAGTAAATGTACTTCCATGAAAAAAGTCACTCAGTTCCTACCTTGGAAACTAAATCGATATTAAACCTTCTGCCTTCTCGGACAATTTGGGAATAGGTAATTTTCTTTGGTTCTTGGGTGGGAGTTTCTGAGGGTGCAGCTTCTGTCTGTCCCACTTCCAGAGTGGACTCTCCAGGAGAACTTTCAGTCCCAGAGGTGGTTCCTGCCCCATTCCCTTCCGTGGCACCCTCTGGCTCTGTGCCCGTGGCCAGCTCTGGCTCCCGGCTCTCCAGCTCTGGGCAGGGGCTCTCCACTGCTGGACACTCTTTCTCTGATTCCAGAGAAACTCCCTTGGCACCAGAGGCTCCAAGGACAGGCAGCTTTGGCAGTGCACCAGCTTCTTCAACACCTTCAGCTGAATCCTGACTGATTAAAAACACAAGGGGGGAAAAGTCTTGAGGAGTCTTAAAAATTTTTTTAAAGTTTTGAGTCAGTGCCAGAATGAAAACCTCCAGCATTTCTAGGAAAAGCATTAGAATTTCTTTATCCTGACCAAAACAGGTGTACCCCCCACTAAAGAACTCTGGTTCTTTGACTGCAAAGCTGTAATTCAAGAGGACTTTTTTTATTGAGAAAAAAAAGAACAACAAAAATTTGGGTTCTTATTTTACACGTACTCAAAAGGAAAATCAAGACCCTCACGGTGAAACAGCACACAGCTACAGAAACAACAGAAATGTAATATTTTAAAATAGGAACAGTAAAGCAATTTGATTTGGTGTTCCCTACGGATTAAAAACACCTTTGAAACTGAAATACAAATATGCATTAAGGTGGGATACTGTAAAAACCAAGCTCAAAGAGAAACAGAAGTGTTTTGCAGGCTGAGCCTCCTTTGCAGGCACAACCCCAGCAGAACCAGGCCACTTTGACCCAAAATGTAAGTAAAATCTTCAAATTCCTTTTTCAGCTCTGCCCTTGCATTCTAATTAGCTGTTGAATACTTGTTTTTATCCAAGTGTTCCAAATTTGTGCTGTGGCTGAAGGCAGCCACTCACAGGAGGGACATTCCCAAACAACATTTTCTCTGCATAGGCCAGTTCCTTTTCACAACATTCCTTTAAAATTCCCCTTATAAAGCAGCCCTCCACTTTTAATCTCATCTACTCTTTTTATCCTGCTCTTCAATGACACCTACCTTAGAAAGTAGTACTTTTGAACTTGGTTTAGTTTACACTACCAGCTGAGATGAATCAAATCAATGTCATTGTAAGTGAAAGGACTTCAGCAATAATTCCACACTATCTTTTTATCTTTATACTACAAGCCATTAATGCACTGAATAAACAATTTAATCTTAGCTGAAAACTAATGAACTATGATTTTAAAGGTGACCTGCAAACACAGAGCACCAAATTTCACTAACAAGATGGTTAAAATTCAGGGGACAGCGAGGAATTATTCAGCAAACACACCAAAATGCTCCCTCACACACCTGCAGCCTCACAGTCAGATGGAGGGGGCAGGATTTCTGTTCACAAGGAACAGGTTGCTCCTCACTTGGGAACTGAGGGACCCATGGAAAGTTTGGAAGGAGGATCAGCTTGGGCACAGCCACCAGGAAGCACTTACCTCCTGACTGGAGTAAAATACTGCCCTGGGAAACACAGGAACTGCTACAAGGAAGCACTAACGAGAGAAGTCTGCTGCTGTACATTAATTATGTCTTCTTGCTTCCTATTGCAAGCATTAAATAATTATAAAATATCAAGGAAAGCTAAGCACTTTGCCAAATGGTTTGTAAAAAAGTTATCTCTGCAACAAATAAAAATGGAAGTCAATTAAATTTTTAGGTTCTGTTTGGATTTTGGATTTTATTTTTCAGGAATTTAGAACATAGTGTTTACGAAAACTGCAAAAGCTCTTGCCATTAATGCAATATCTAAGAATGAAACTTTTATTTAACTCATCCTAAGCCTTTTTATAACACAAAATTTCAGAGGAAGGTTTTCTTTCTTCCTTCTTCCAGTCTCAATGTACATTTCAATCCCATTTTAAACATACTCGATTATTACTTTTTCAAAGCAAAATAAACTTGGATTCATAATACATTGTATTTTTCTATATCACTCTGAAAAGCAGAGCAACAGAAATGTTATGCTTACATATTTTAAATCTCTATTCACTTCCCATCAAAGAATACGTAAATCTCCACGATTTGCAGCTCTACACTTCTTATAATGAAAGCCTAAAAACTGTATATAATATAAATTCATGACATCCTTCCTATAGGAACAAATATCTCTGAATAATGTAAGAACTGTCTATAAAAATTACTCAAATTGAACTTCTGTACAGACAATTCTTCTCCTAATTCAGAAAAAAATAATACATCTGCAGACAAATTGTTGTGTAAATTTAGAATATTATCTTCCACCATTCATCAATTAATGGTACTAACAAAGGAATATCTTAAAATGAATGTGTCTTATTAATGCCTTGTAACAGCAACCCCTTCAGATAGGTCAAATGAAAAATTGCCAACCAGCTGGTTAATTTATTCAGCACAGGTGTTCACTATTTATTTTTCAGCCATTTGCCTTTTTTCAATACAGCTTGTTGTAGACACAGTATTCTTTTCCTTTGATGGATGCACTTTGTTCTAAGGCCATTCATTTCAGACTTGCACTGTGTATATTATACTGCTACCCAGCTGTTTATTCTTTCAAAATAAATGTTTAATGGTTACTTCACAGGAGTTATAAAAGTTAAGCAAAAACAACAGAATTCAGCCAGAACATGTAAATTGTCAGATACACAGTAAGTGACTTTCTCAGAAAGTTTTGAGTTCTTTTGGAGAACTTTTTCTTTGCTAGGTTTATTAATCTTATCATTGTTCCCTGTGGCTTTGGGGGTTTTTTTGGTGATAACCAAGACAGACAGCTCTGGACTGCTGAGCTGAGTTAAATCCTTAAAAGAATCTCGTGGTTGGTCCTGACTCGAGTATAATCTCACTTCTCCAAAGTGTGAAATCTCAGTGCTTGGGGACTCATTTGTGAGCCAGATATCAGTCAAAAATCATACACAAAGTTAAGAGACTATGACGCCTTTAAATCTCATTTACTACTGCTTCTGAACAATATTTATTATGGCAGCAGGTTTACAATTACAAGATTCAAGTGATATTTCTTTCAAACAAGCATTCCATTTTCTATGCAGTCAAGCAGCCATTACTGTGCAGCTGAACCCTGGAAAAGTCTGAGTCTGTGACCTTCAGATTGCATCAGTCTAATTCACACCTTTTTTTTCCCCTACTTATGATGTTTACAGGAAGAAATACATGTTTCTGTACAAGTATCTGTCCACATTTCATTTAGCTACCTAAGGGATTTTCTAAGGGATTCAAGGTTAAACTTACCTAACTATCAGAAAGAACCTCTCAGGAATTCAGAAGTGTTCAGTTCAGTGCAAAATCCAGAAGATGAAAATGATAAATAAATACATAGTTCAGTTAATTAAATTTATATTCAGTGGATTTAACCTCAGTAAGTTAAATCCCTTGCATATAAAAAGGACAGAAAGCAAATATTCCTTTATCACTTTAGCACAATGGAGTATTTCACAGTTAAAATCCATTTGTGTTCCTGTTCTTGTGTACTTAGTTCATTCTACATGTGTGTGGCGAAGTGCTTGAAGCCAAGAGCACAATATGATCATTTCCCTCTGGGCATATAAAATTAGTCACACATTTCTATATTTCTACTTACTCTCCAAAACAGAAATCTTCTACATGTTGAATAGTTTTATCCTTCCTGCTCAGAGGAATGGCTTCTTCACCCTCAAGGATCAGTTTTTTCCAGTCTTCACATTCATCACCGAGATCCGTCTTTTGCTTACAAAGAACAATTATACAATTACACGTCGTACTGTGTGAGCTGTTCTTGAGCTACAAGTCTCTGCAGTCCCAAATAATATGTACCATCTAATATAAGAAAAAGATCATAATGTTTTTTCTGTTCAGATTTTGGAGTTAAAACAATAAAGCTGCTTGCTGTATTGCAGCAGGCCAACATTTGTACTACAGGACTAACTCTAGTAATCTGAAAACACAGTGTGAAATGGAATACAAGCTTTAGTAGTGAGCTGAAGGTAACTTTGAATACTATCTACTAAGGTTTGCCACAGCCAGGTTAGATCCAAATTTTGTGACAAAACTATTTGAATGGAGACCAAATGGAAAAACACCAGTGATTTGGGTATTGTATCAATCTGCCCACACAGGAATCTCTAAATCATGTAGCAGAACTCTGAGAATATGAAGTTCTGTCACTGAGCAACTCCCCTGATTATACCAGGAGGCAGCACAGTGGAATGAGCAGGGATAAGACTGAGCTGAAACACTTCCATCTTCTACGGCCCAACAGGCTCTGAACGCCTCTGTAAATAACAGGAACAGGCAGTTGCTAATACAGCCCAAGTGCTCCATCTCCTAAATAAATATCCTCTTCAGGAGATTTCTAGTGGATTGTCATGAATTAGATAAACTTTGGTCATTGAAAAATACACTGTCAGCATTAATCTTTTTGTCCTGGTTACGGGACATTTCAATGGAAGGATCCAGTAGAGAAGAATCAGCTGAATGCAAACGAGAAAACCAGAAGGGACTGAAACATCAGGGAGTGGAAAATAATCAAACAGGAAAGGGAAAAGACCAGACAATAGTCTGGTGGGTTCTATATAAATTCAAGAACTCAGAAAGTATGACTGAGCACAAGACTGGTCTCAGTAATGTGAACAACCCAGGCACAGCAGAGCCTCAGAGTGCCAGGCCAGATGGGTAAGGCTCAACCAGTAAAGCTGGAAACTAGAAACCCCTTTGATCTGTCAAATTACCAAAGAAAAAGAGCATTGTGGTGATTTGTCTTGTAATAAATCATGCAAACAACACAGATTTAATGTTAAGGAACACTAAAAGAAGTCATTGAAGAAATTTTTACCTGATTTTCTTTAATCCAGGATAATAACCCTGAAAAACTAAAGCTGGCCCAGTTTCCACCATAGTAATTTCTCCTGTAAAGAAAAAGAAAAAAAAAACAACAGAAAAACTTGATGGACAGATAAAACACAGCCTTTCCACATTAAAGAAAAAACAACAAAGTTTGAGACATTCAAAACATTTTCCATGACAGATTTTTCAGATGCAGAATACATAAAAATTGGTATCTCACAACTCTGAATGAGATGCAAAATTTCCCTTTTTCCTCATTTGTATCCCTCTCCGACCAAACAGACTATGGTCCAAAATCAAAGTATTTAGGGGATAAATTGATAATGCTGAGAAAAGCACATGTGAGGAAAAAGAAAGTACAGGTAATTCTGCTTCTTGGACAAGACTGACCCTCTTACCCATTATGTCAAATAAAGGAAAGTTCACTTTACTGTTTATCTGCTGAATGGATTTTGCCTATTACAGCCTGTGAAGATGCTCTGGCAAAATTCTTACTGAACTCCATGTACTGCAGGTGGAGCCAAAGGAACTGATTTGTACAAAATGATCATCCCTCCCTGAGCACTTCCCAGTTTCTATTTACCACCTTCTTGCTTGAAAAAGATTAGTTTACTTCTTTTACATCACAGAAAATTAATAGTTCAGTTATTAATCAAAGAAAGTCTATGCTCACCTTTTTTAAAATGTTCTATCAACATTTCTGTAAACATCAGTCAGATTAAGTTAGCTTTTGTTGTCATGCACAGCACATCCTAAATATTTAACAACTCCGAGAGAAAAAACAAAAGAGCAATTACATTTTAAAAAATCACCAGTTCTTGCAAAGTAAAACAGTCATTTCAGGATTTAACTCTGTTTTCTGGCACTGTGAGCTGACAGTTCAGAAGCCTGAAAGACACCAAAAATACCCTCCTGAAGGGTTATCTAATGTTACTGCAAACACTGAAAAAAAATAAAATTAAATTTAGGGAGGAAGATGGGCTTGCATTTCACAGAATAATGTGAAGGCTGTTAAATCAAATGATCTTAAAATCTTATCATATAACTTCCTCTGCTTCTGAACTGTGGAGCTAAGTGTGGTTAACAGTGCACAGCTGAATTCAGGTTAGATTCTCCTGCCTGGATTTACAATGGGATGTTTTTGACAGGGCTGATCTGCCCTGACAAAGACTTCATTAGGAGTGTCAGCCCCGCTCCAGCACCAGAGGGTGATGCTCTGGACCACGCTGCTTACTTAGCATATGAAGGACAGATGTCTGCTGAGCAGGGCCTAATTGCTCCTGACTACAAACTGACCTAAAAAAGTCTTTCAGCTCCTGCAAGGCAACAGTGAAGAACATAAATAGGACATCTTGTGCAAAGACAACAAAATCTGGCATCCTCTGAGTAAAGGTGGCTCCAACGACACAGTGTGGTGTCCCAGAGCTGGGGGCACCGGGACCAGACCCTGCAGTTTGGCCACTCCAAGCACCACAGCTCCATCTGCAGATGGTTTCCAACCAGAAATTCCATTCCTCTTTAACAAGGAGCTCATCCTTACCTTGCTGTGTGAATGACATGGGTGAGCTTAAAAAGTACTGCTGTTTGGTGTCACACAGAACACAAAGCAACGAGGATTAAATCTATTAAACACCCAATTCCGTCAGATTCCAGCCTGGAAACCAGTCCCTGGTAGTTGCATGCTGTGATCATCTCCAGCTTTGTCTGACCTGTCAATGGTGCAGGTGAACTTCTTGATGCTTGTTAAGATTCCATAGAATAAAAAGTTCAATATCCCTGTATCATCCATCACTTCTGGGATTTCCAAAAAACACAGGCACAAAGATTTATTTTTAAGGAAATCTGCTGCTTTAGTTGCAAGTTTCTTGAATATGGAATACAATCTGGCTGTCAGAGCAAGCAAGGCCATTGATCACCAAAATCACAGAAAACACCTGCCTAAAATTAAGAGTGGGTTTCTTGAACCTACACCAATAAAAGCCATACATATTTAGAATATTTAATAAGTTACAGCTCTCAGTAAGAGAAATGAATATGTTATCTTCACAGGAAGTTACATAAGTTTATTTGTGAGCACCCTTTTCAAGTTCAATATCATCTTCTCCTTAAGAAGCAACTTCCAGGTTTTTTTTTATCCTGGAATTTTAATTAGTTTCCCTTGCCTTACATGATGAATCAGATTGCTTAATTTTCTCAACTGAAAACACTACAGGAAGAAGACAGACAAGACATGATTACTGACATAATGAGCAAAGTTTTTAGCAAAAATCTTGAGGAGGAATTCTGAAAAGAGCTGACTAATGGTTTTACAATTAGGGGTCCTTTGTAACCAAACATTTTTGTTATAATTGCCCTGAAGATGAACTGAGGAATTCCTTAAAGTAATGGTGAAGATCAAAGCCTAATTAAAGCTAAAATATTGTCCCAAAATCTCAAGGACTAAAATCCTCTCTTCTTTTGCTCTACTAGCAAATTACAAAGATGGATATTCTCTCCCTTTTTTTAGGGTTATAATTCAATTATCCTCTAACTAAGAAAGGAAACATTTTGAAGGAGTAACAGCAGAGGCAGAAACTATTTTTTCTACTAAGTTAGAGCACAGATGTTTTCCTACCATACAGTACTTCCTAGGTTATATTTGCTCAAAACTCCTCCTGTATTACCTGGGCTTTCACCTGAATTACAAAACTGCTGCTTTCCCTCCATGTTTTTCAAATCTTGTATCTGTAGTTTAGTGTCAATAGAAGAACTACTGAAGCCATTTGGCAAAGTTTTGGAAATGCAGCCCAAGTACCAATTCACCGCTGCAAAAAGCTTAATTCTCTCTCCTCCTACATTAGCTTGTGACTTTTTTCTCAGTTATTAACACCATTTTCCTTCAAATTCTTCAAAAGAATTTGCAAATCCCAGTCCAGAACACCGAAACCACAAATTGTTTCCAACTGATTAACAATCTCGGAATCTGAACCAAGAGAATATCTAACGTGTTCTTTTGAAGGCAGACTGCAATTTGAGAAAGTGGCCACTTGTGAAAGCAGGAGAAACACGAGTCAATAGAAGTGAGAACTGGAAAAGCCTTTCCTGGCCCGTGCCTGTTCCCAGGCCATGTCACAACCGCCAGGGCAGAGCACTCAGAGCTGGTGATGGCTGGAGAAAAGCTGCTGATGCCTCACAATTGTGCCCAAGAGCTGCCTCTCTGTGTCCATCCTGCATCTGATCTTCCAGAAAGAAGTCCTGACCCATCAGAGCTGCTGTCTTTTCCAAAGGAAGTTACTGCCACATCGATTTTAAGGAGCTGAACACAAAATGACTTATGTTTCAAACCCATAAAGTTGCCTGTGCTACCTATTAAGAACACAGTCAAATGTATGAAAAATTCCCATTCTGGCAGAGGGATCGTGTTGAGGAGCATGAGAAGAGGACTGCACTTCCTGGCCTTCCAGGAGGAAGGGTTTAACCCAAACAGCTCAAGATCCTCCAGCCCAACAAAAGGGTGATGGTGGCAGCCACTTGTGCTACATCACGTTATATCCTGGGATATGAACGTGACCATGGACCAGCTGAGACCATCTTACTAATACCTTTGGAGATCATATCCTAAATCAAAATAGATATAAAACCAACTTTTTCAAAAAAGGTCAGAAGATACCAGAATTAAGGATGTTTTGCCTAGTTTTGGTTACTGAAATTAAAGAATTCCTTTATTTTTCTTGCAAGAAGCTGACCTGCTTTAAAAAGCAACCTTTTTGCTCTCTGGTTGCTGTACTCACACAGCTCCCTCATTTCAAGATCCAAAAGAAGGCTGGATGAAGACACAAGGTTCTCTTACAACATACATTTTACGAGTTCTGAAAAAAATGAGATAGACTGTCTAACAAGGTGTGGAACAAACTACAAAGCAGGTATCTTGGAGGGGGGAGGTACAGGGAGAGGGCCCAGCACACTTTTGCGTGCTCAGATGGGAGAATTTTGGACACAAGGAACACTCAAGTAAAGTAAGGTCAAAAAATAAGGTGCCAAGAAGCAAGACATGCCCAGGTTACTCTAATTCTCGTTGAAGAGAAGTTAAAATTCTGCATCTTGACATTCCTTTGCCTCTAATTAAATTCTACATGAGAAGATGAATAAGTCAATGAGGAAGGACATAGATAATAAAAATACAGCCTACAGATCCTGTATTCTAGCCGCTGAAAATCAAACACAAGAGGTAGCAAAGCATCCTGACCTTGAACTGCCCCATCCTCAGTATCCAAACAGAGATATAATTATTACAGAGATATAATTGTAAGAGGCAAATAAGCAAAGGACCAAAAGTAGAAACTTTAGCAAACTGTTAGGAGAAAGTCCTTTGCATAAGCACAATTAGTATGGGAAGTATATTCACTTCAAGTAATCCACTTTTAGTCTTGATCTACCTTTCTTCGGCAACTCCGAGTTTAAACAAAGTGCCAATCTCCACATTTTAAATTGCAAATTACTTTTCTAAATCACTTAACAAATATCCTTGAAATTTCACATGTCAACAGCTCATTAATATCTACAGTAAATGTAGCTCTCTGAAAAGAACCACAGATTTTATGTTTATTGAGACAGATAGCTGGCACAGAGAAATAGAGCTCCTTCAATTACTAGTTGGCAGAAGCTAACTTCAGTTTAAAATCAGTCTGCAGGAATTTATGGCAACACTGCAGTGAAGTGACTATTTTGAATAAGATTAGCTACTGCTGATGGTGATGCTTGGACAGTGTTTATAAATCAAACTTAGAACTTAGTATTTTATAACAGGCCACTTCAAAACTATCTCCCATAATCACCTATGCAGTATATTATGATAAATGCAAACATGGTTGGGGATTAAAAATAATAAAGTGAGGTACACGAGGTAATGAGTGCAAGTAAACTGTAAACAAAGACTTTATGCATATATATTTTCAATACCTTGTGCTCAACTTAACTCAGAGTTTTGTAGGGAACAACAGATTAATAACAGTAGCACACCTAACATAAGCATTTCAGTAACCCCAAATCTCATTTCCTTGTACCCTGCGAAGATTTTAAATTCATGATCCTTAAAGAAGGAAAATCATACATTGTTAAACAGTGATATTCTGAATATAAACAGCTTTTTTGGTTGACGAATTTTCAATTATACTGTTACCTCAGTAAAACAAAACTTGAAAATTCATCTAGAAACGAGTATATTAAACCAGATCAAGTAAGTAACAATAAAATGTTTTAATTCAGATGAATCTCTGGCAACCTTTCCAAGACTCAACTTTTCATTTAGAATTCAAATGGCATCAGGTGCTGGTTTTCTGTTGGTTTTGGAGGCTTTTTTTGCAAGAACACTTAAACACAAAAAGCAGATGGCCTGAAATGCTTCCCTCTTTATGGAGTTGGGGTTTTACAGTTAAACATTTCTGTTTTTCTTGGCCGAGGTATGGATTCTAGACCATGATCCAGGAAGCACATACACCAATTAAAGGGGCAGCTATTAATATGAGGGAAGAACACCTTGGTTAAGAACACCTTTTCCTGCACTAGAGTTGGGAAACAACTCCACAGGAGAAAGGCATCAAACGTGGAGGACTTCATTACAAAAGCACGTGTGAATGTAAATAAGCACATTTAAGTGAAACAGTAATGAACAAAATCTGTATTCCACTGTTCTAATTGCTGCTCCTGTGAATCTTCTGAAAGCTCTCCATCAAAGCTAAAACCAGGCATGGCTAAAAGAAACCCAGGGGCTCACATTATTACAGACTTTGATAGCCAATGAAAATAAAATGCTGAAATAACAGAAGTTATTCTCACCAAACAGAAAGGGATAATTAGTGTCAGGAATGAGAATGAAGGGCACTAAAGCTGTGACCATTCCTGCCTGTACCACAGAAGGAGCAATCACAGCATCCTTCACCACAGCACTGATCTTCCAAATTCCTGAGCCAGCAGGCAAAAACTGCCTGTTCTGTTGGTGGAAATAACACCCCAAAATAAGGCAGAGACAGAAGTATAACGTTCCTTGATGCCAGATGAACACAAGAGAAGCCCTGCAGCACTCACTGGCACAGACACAGCCACAGTTCAGTTCTTAAACAGAGGCATTACTGGAGTCACTTACGAATCCACGTGAAGAACTCTCTGGCCACTTCTGGCACACGCTGCGGCAACAATGGATTCAGGCAAACCTGGAATGACACCGGCAGGTTTTAGTACTCAGTATGCCAAGATATATTAAAAACTGAAATAAAAGTAGAACTTGGTCAGAAGCAGGCAACTCAAACAACAGAAATCTTACTATGTGAGTCATTGAAATTTTTAACAGTCTCGTGCTACTGAAATAATGAACACTATTTTGTGTTAATATTTTCTTATGACGCTCTTGAACGCAAGAAACTTTTTTGTTTAGTAACTGTATGACACGTGACTTGCAAACACTACTGAGTTAAAGCTTGGCACCAGCGTTTTCTCTAGAAACCTTGTGATCATAAACAGATTGAGCACTTGCCAGCACACTGATACCCAAATTCTCTGTAACTGCATCCCTCCTGATGCAGGCAGGTATTACCTGAGGGCATTTTTGTGTATTTTTGTTCACTTCCAAGTGACTGACATAAAGACTGTGGTTGTCCTTAAAGTGATATCCCTATAGAAATCTCCTATGTCATGCAATTATACTGTGTCAAATCAGTATGTCTTCACCACACTTAGAAAAAATTACATAGTAAAAAAGCACACCAAAAGGCTAGTGATATTTCTCTACCAGCAATACATGCTTGGGGTGGCACAGGATCCCATTTGGAAGTCTAATAAAGAAATGAGGCTGTTCTGTAATGCCTATTCCCACTCAGCAGATTTCCCAGGCCCAGCTGGATGACTGGGATCTCTGAGCACGTTCAGGAGAGCAGGACAGCTCACAGGATAAGGAGCTGCACGGCACTAACTCCCCTGGAATCTCTTTTTAAATGATCTATTGGCTGTTTAAGCAGGTAATTCAGTAACAGAGATTAAAACTCTAAGGGGCTGGTATTAGGAGACACTTAGGCCACGTCTTCAATTAAGGGATGAGATTAAACAAAGTGAAAGGAGTTGTGGCTGATCTGATTTACAGCAGCACCAGGAGCAGCTGCTCCAGTGCAACTGCAGACACAGAACTGCAAGTGGAAAAGTCAGGCATGGGAGAGCACAGTTTCTTTTTTGGCTTGCTTCATGACAAACATCATCTCTGGCAGAATTCCAGGCCTATTCCAGCAATCAGTTTCTTCAGAAGGAATACTGATTTCACATACAAATAAATCCTGACATTACCAGTGTGATGATTCATTTAAAACACAACGCAGTAGTTAAAGGTTACTGAATAACTCCCTACTACTTGTAAGGCAGCAGTTTTCACTTACTTAGAGTAAGAAGCTGTTAGACTTTAATGGGATATTAAGCACAATTTAGCCCTCACAGAGACACGAATAAATAATTTTAAATGGCTAAGCTAACCTTTATTAATACTAGAACCTGAAATGCAGTCTAGGAAACACCTCGTGGGACTTAGAGACACTAGACCACAGTTTCACAAACCCTTTAGGCCAGCAAAGGCAAACACAAACATCAAAATAAAGAGGTTCAACCTCTGGGCCCTGATCTTCTGCCACTCCTGACCTCCTTCTATATCAAGCAAAGGGTCAGTTTTTGGGAGAGCAGTTCCATGGTGGTGTCCAAAAGCATAAATGCTTGGATCATCAACACAATGGAGGTTTTAGGACATGCACGACAAATTTCCCAGGAAAATAGCTACAACTTCCCTTCAAATTTTCTGGCTTAATGAATATTATTTTGATGGAGAAAATCCTTTTCTGAATTGATAAAGCAGAAAAAGTGACAATAGCTTTGCATTGCTGACCTTCCACAGCAGTGAAGGTTGACAATTAACCTCTGGGAGTAGAAAGAGGGATGAAAAATCACACCAGTTCCTCGGACATTTGTTTCACAGCCTAGAAAGGCCAATAACCTTTAGAGTTGAATTTTTTTGGAAGCAAGAACTCAAACCACAGAGCATTGTGAACAAGGAGAAAATACTCCACTGCAGCACACCCCTCAGAACTGACAGGAGACCCTGGCTGCACACACTGATCATGGGAGAGCAGCTCCACGTTCAGCTGCCCCCCCATTTATATACACGTTCCATTTCACTCCCTCTATAAACTATCTGGAATAGAATCTACAACTACTATTTTGTTGGGAGTTCCTGAAAAAGGTTTTCTTTCCCTCAATGGGGCACAGAGAGTATTACTCTAGAAATGGAATTGAAAAACTTGTTTCTCCTTCCTTATTGATAAAAGCCACTGAGAAAGTGTTGTAAAACATCACCAGTGCTGCCTGGCTGACCTGGGCTGGAGTTATAGCTACCAGGGCATAACTGATTGCTTTAAGCTTAATCCAATTGATACTGTGTTGGAGGTCTGTTCTTCCATTAACCTTGGATGAAATTGTTCCCTGAATTAGCTTCCTTGCTCTTGAAAGCTGGCATCAATTTTCTGCACCAATCCTTTGCTTCTCAGATCCCGTGGCCCCCCACATACCCACTGGGGACAGAGTGAGGCTGAAAGGCAAGGCCTGTGAATTCCTCCTCTTGGAGAGGCTCTCCAACAACCTGAGAGAGCAAGACACCAATTGTTCCATGACAAAACCTCAGTAAAGCCAAGAAATAAGACTGTGCTGTGGCACAGTCACAGTGTGCTGAATTCTCTTCTCCAAGAGAAACAAAGGCACAAGGGAAAGAGGCAGCTTTGTCAAGTGCCAGTTACTCCTATGTGGGATCTGGACTGCAGGATGGCTACTGGACAAAAGCCTTTTCCAAGAAAGAATGTTTTGGTAAACACACCATCATCATATAGGTACAGACAGTCCTTCTCTATTTAGGACAAAACTAAATAGGAAAAGCCTCCTCACAGAAATGCTCATTTATGTAATGACAGCACAGGAAGCTGAACTGTCTCCTACTGGATGCTCACAGACTGGTGCAAGATAGGTCCCCTCCAGATGATCCAATAGCAGAGAAATATTACCATCTTTTTATGAATTGTTCCTACTTGGAAAAAGCTTTCTATTCTTTGATTTGTCAAAAACCATAAGCTGGATTATATCCAGCTTTTGAAATGTGTTCAGACCCTCGCTACAGGGCAGAGCAGACTCCAGATTCTGAAGTTTTCCTTATGCCTAATGAGTAAAAAAACCTGGGCATCTCCAGGCTGTTTTCCTCCTGAGGATTATTCCAACACTTCCTGCCACTTATCCTTCTTGGGGAACAGGTTGGTTTGGTCATCTGGAGGGATGCAGGATTTAGCACTACAACCTGTACCACTCACAGAGTGTTTGAACAGGCAGTCGAGTAATGATTTGGATTCAGTAACTTGCATCACTAAGAACAGCAAGATCTAAATGAGAATCTACATCTCCTTTTAGATTACTACTAAAGAATTTTAAGATTGTACTGCTATCAAAATCAGTAATCAAATTACTGAATCATCATTGCCCTCTGCTACAATTAGTAATAACCAATATGTTTCTACCAAGTTATTATGCATACTCCTTACTGTGAAGCACAGCACACATTTCACTCTATCTGAAATGAAAAGGGCTACTGCAAAAGAACATTTCCTTAAATAAGGTTAAAATCCAGACAATTTTTAGATTTGCAATGGTATTAGCAGGAAATAAGAAGTCTGAGTAGGAATTGCATGATCCAACCACAAGAAAGCAGCACCAGATCCAGATTTTAGTGTGTTATACAGAAACATCTGGCAGCATAAAAGGGATTTATGTGGAGGAATAAGGAGTCCATACAATACTTGTATCATTTAATGTGCTGACTCAGAAGTTCTTTGTATTTGAGGTAGAATCAATTCTGCAGTGCTTGCTACCAAGAAATGTTTATATACTTTCTGTGTTTCCTGGTCCTTTCATATCCCCCTTCAGAATGCTTACATGTGAAATATTTACATTATGTCAGATTGCAATGCACTTCATTTCTCTTACTAGAAAAACAAAGATAAAGAGTTTTCCTTCAAGAAGGAGGACTGGTTAGTGCCAGTTGGAATCTTTATCATCATTCCTTAAAGCCACTGCCTTCTTCCTCCACTTACTAACCCCCATTTATCAGATGGAGTATTAAATTAGCCTCTCTGGCCTTGTCAGGGAAAGAGTAATTTAAAATTTCAGTGAGGTTGGACATTGCATCTGCACACAGATATAAATATAAATATAAAATGAGTGATTTTACTCATTAGTGATCCCTAGATTGCTCCCATGTTCTAACAGGTAGAATTTCACAGGTAGTACCTGACACCCATCCAGCAGGTGATGCATTTTGTGCCTCACTGAAACACGAGTGCAAAGTCAAAGTGAACCAACTGGAGTCCCCAGTACTGGTCCAGGAGCAATGCTGACTACACACCTGCCCTCCTGTGTTTGGACTTCTTGTTTGGAAAGAAATGGAATGGCAAGCAGATTGAATCATAACACACTGGCTCTAATTAGATTAACAAACACTGTGGCATGGCCACATTGGGTCTGTAGGACCAGTTTTTGTGTGTAATGCACTGGGAGCTGCTGTGAAAGACCCCAGGGCTGCACCAGAACCAGCTGCAGCACGGGGGGAAGGCACCCAGCAAGCCCAGAGCACAACCACAGGGTCAGGACAACCCTCTGATGAAGAGCACAGTGCCCTCAGCCTGCTCTCACTGCCACTGCCTGAGCACTGTCTCCATCACACCTTCCTGCAAACGGAACAGGCACATTAATCCCAATAAATTACAGAGGTGGCTGCTGCAAACTGACCTTCAATTCTGCATCTGGCTGTTTCCAGCAATCTCTGACCAAGATAATCTCCATTACATGAATTTTTGGAGCTTCCCTATGAAGCAAAATCAACTGCATTTTCACTTTCAAGAATAGTGTTTTAGAAGTAAAAAAGAAAGAGAGGAATTGGTTACACATTATTTAGTTACCAAAAAACCAATTCGACTTTTAGTTTCAACACAGCAAAATTCAAATTTCAGATAACTGCTGAGCAACAGAACTTTTTTTCTTCAGCTTTAAAAGCCAATTAATTTTAAAAAGCGATACAAAATAATTCAAAGTTATAACTCACCTCTGTGTAATCAAAAATTAATTTTAGGCTTACACACTGTGCCTCCTGCTCAGCAGCTGTACATGCTGCTCTAGTGATGCACTGCCTTTAAATGGACACAGCCACTGCCCTGAGCAATTTATAAACAGCTTCATATGTGTGGAAGTGTCTTGGTTCCTAAGCTGTTCACTGCAAACTATTTCCCAGTCATCCAGCTGATAAGTTTTTACTGAATTACATGAGATTCATCTTGAAAAGGCTTAAATGTTTAATTTGCTTTACTGTATCTACTAAATAAATCACAAGTGGCTCTTTCATAATATAAAAGTTGAAGGAAAATATATTAAAAATGCTGGAACACAGACAATTTCAAAACAATCTTCTGGAGTCAGACAGTTGACCAGCTGCAATAAATTTTGTTTGCATCTGAACTTGTAGGAAGAGAACAGCAGCTGA